AAATAAATTCTAATTTGGTGTCTTTCATATTGTGTAAATTCATCAGAGCTTGTCACTCAAAATTAAACTGGAGACTAAATCAATAAGTATTGCTTTCTGAGCTTCATCTCTCTCCGCCACATCTTTTCTATGATCCCAGCACAGCTGATGGAGCCCGCCCGTCTTCAGAAACAGGAAATTGAGTGACAGAGAAGGTCAGTCAGTCTGCAGTGGACGTGACAGTCAAAGACTCACAGCCACAACACCCTTTTTAATTTGTAATATTATTCGATAGGCAGTGCTGTATGAAATTTGAAAGAAAGGGTTCAGAAGCCTTAGGTATGTGTTTCCCCCCCCCTCTCAAGCAGCAGGTGTAACAATATTAGCTTTGGTTTATGTGAATTCCCAACTGGAGCGTGCTGCTGTAGGAGGACGGGGGCACATCAAGAGGAGGATTTTACGCAGCAAAGTGGTTTTGTTTTGTTTTGGAAAACCGAGAGGGAGCGGGTGTTTTTTTGGGTGTTACTACGATCATGAGGAAAGGCCATGTGATGCGGATGTGGTATTGGAGCAAGGTTTTGAAGGCGTTTGGGGGGGAGGCAGGGATAGAAGGTGGAAGATATTGCATAACTGGAAAAGTGAAAAGTCCTCTGGCTGGCATGACAGGAACATTCCTCCACCCACCCAATGTCCTCATCCCCGACTTCATCTCTCTTTTCCATTTTCTCTGATTCAAATGCAAACTGGTGCCTCTTCTTTCTGAAAATAACTAAGTGAAACATGCAGTCCTCATTTTAAGCCCTCAGCATGCATTATGCCATAGTCCACCCTGCCACTCATTTCCTGTTTTCTCCTTCTTGCTCATGTACTTGATTGTGACACCATTCTATGTATTCAACTTATGTAATTATCTATTCATTTCTAAATGAAATTCTTAAAAAAAAGAATTTTAAATTCTCATTTCATTGGGGGGGGCAGAGAGAATGTGAAGCGTAGAGATCAGCTACCAGGCTCAGCTCCCATCTGGTTCAAATCCAGAAGGTCTCAATCTCACTGATTTCCCCACCAGCTCTCAGTATCATCTCCTCCAAACAGCAGCAGCTTATACAGCATGGCTATGACCCGGCGAAGAGGCCACAGGCCAGAGACGAGCTCGCTTCGAGTCCTCTGTTTCCTAGCTGGAGGATGTGGTGAAAGGATTGAGACCCAAGCCAAAGCAGAAATCTGTAATGATTAAAGTGCAGAGAGTGATGATGTTCAGTTGGCACATTTCCTTCCTGACAGTCAAGAACATAAACTGTATATAAAGATGAACAACGTCTCTCCACTTCCTCCCACTATCCAGAAATGAAGACAAAATATCCCAGATACTAACGCTGCCATCTTGCGCATTTGGAGCCAGACTGTGCAGTAGCAATTGGGGGATAGAGTTGAGAGTGCCTGCCTATACACACAAACACACAACCAATCATGTGTCAGTCTCAGCTGACTATCATGAGGTTTCATCCCATTTTTACTGCATCAAATAATTAACACTAAACTCCATGAAATAAATGAATACTTTGATAAGAACTAGCTAAAATGACTGACACCATCTTTGAGAAAAATTCATTTGATATGTGCTTTTGGTCCATGTCCAATCCACTAGCATGGAAAAAGGTGGTATTCATAAGCTGCACTGCAGCCAGCCTAGAGGGCGATCACGATGCTTTGGCTTCACTTTAGGAGAGTAGACTCTGGATGATCGGGTCTGAGCGTGAGTCACAGACAATAGGTGAAAAAAGGAGTTGAGATGAAAAGTTGTTAAATCAAAGAGTCCAAGGCTTTATTGTGGTTTCTGTTAGCATCAGCCTCCTTGAAGTTCACACCCTTGGAATTTTAGCCTTTTTTTTTCCAAACCACTGTAAAGCTGCTGCTGGCCATCCCATTGAAGGGACTGGGTGAGAGATGATGTCATTCTTCACAGTGTAGTGTCAGACACTTGGAATGTGGGCCACCTCAGCCCTCCCTGTCCAGCTCAATGGCTGAAAACAAATCCTGTGAATCTACTGGCCGGCTTTGAGGGGCCCCAGCTCTGGCACCAGTAGCCATCTTCACTCTGGGGGGCCCTGGGGGCCCAACACTTCTGGCTGACGTCATGGTAGCAAAACCATTATGATGAGATTAGTGTGAGCTTGTACACAATGCCCGGGTGCTCTACCATCTCACCCTCTCCACTATGTTTTTGTGCATATTCATTTCCAGAACCTCATAGCTTCTTTTCTCCTCTTTATTCAACACCTTCCTCTTTTTCTTTCAATGCATCTCTCTTTCTTCTACCCTGGTTTATCCATTTCTCTCTCCCAATACTTTACTTTCCTCCCTGGTACACAGAGACTCATTTCCTGGGTTCATATGCATTTCAAAAGGTGCAGGAGGCTCCTTGTACCAAGTTGAAGAAATGAGACGAGCAGCGGGGTGAATATCAAAACACTCCTCCGTAGTTGCCGGAGACCAGTCCCTGGTTAGGCAGTGGGACAATCAAATGACACTGTGTAAACTTGACTCCCCTGGTCATCTGTAGTGATTTATTGCTATGTATTACTACAGGGGCAAGAAAACAACATGGACTGAGGGATGAATAGATAGTATTCTCTTCTCTCATAAGCTGTTCTTAGACATACTCTGACCTATGGGCATTTTCCTGAAATTTTCCTGAGGGGCTGTATGTGAGAATGCAAATATCTGAGTTAGTTGCATCCAACATTTTCCAGAACCTTTCCTGCCAGTCCTGTTGTTATGTCCGGGTGAAACAATTTTTGAAAATATAGCAGGACAATGTCTGGAAAATTCACCCGACAGGTTGTCTTTCTAAGTTGACATCTTCATCAGCATCTTCTATGTGTATGAATCTCTTTTTCATCCATATTTTATGTCTGTCGGTTGTCTGACCCCTGTAAATCTTTCTTCTAAAACACATGTCTGAAACAGATTACATCTGGAAACTGCTATAGTAATTTCTTAAAATGGTGCTATCATGTTTTTTGTTTTTTCTATTGAATGTATGATTTAAAAATTCTGGTTTTAACTTAATGGTTTTACTGTGTCGATAAAAAAACCTCCCTTGTTGTTGTAGGATGAACTGGACCTGACGGATAAGAACAGGGAGGCCATGTTCGCTCTGCCAGATGAGAAGAAATGGCAAATCTACTGCAGCAAGAAGAAGGTGAGTTGGCCTCTGCTATACTTTACCATACAAGCTCTGGCTGGCCCTTTGTTGACTGGCTGCCTCAACCCACAGTTCATAGCTGTCAGCGGTGAATGTTATTGAAGGGCAGCCTCTTTCCAGAACCCATTTACAAGACTCTGATATGTGGGACACTCTAAATGAATTTACACTACATACATACAAACAACTCAGTGTATAAAATGCACTCATAAAGCTCCTGTTTCTTGCTGCAAGCCCCCAATTATCAAATCACCTCCTCACGTCAGAGAAAGCAATTTCCTCACGCTGCTTAAGGAATTGTCAACATACCATGGGAGCACTAGAACATTCTGGTTAGCCCTCTCTTTCACCCCTCTCCACTCGCCAAAATGTCTCTCTCCGTCTTCGTACCCTTTGGCGTGTAGCTCCACAACAACTCCGGTCTCTGGTCTTTGTGGTCGAATATCCACCAGGAAATGACATTGTACTTGGAGAAAAGGGGGATTTCAGACCCCCCTCTTACTTCCTTCTCTTTCTTTCTTTCCTTCTCTCTCTCTATCTCTTTTTCTATAGACAGATAGACAGATAGTCATAAACCCCCCTTGTGTCCCTTTGCTAATTTGTTTATTTGGCTGAATGTTTTGTTTTGAAAGGAGGACGGGTATCTAACCCTAACCCTCCTTCCACTTTCCAAGGCATGCAGGCTCGGCTAAGCTGATGTGATATGCTCTGACAACCTTTTTAAAGAAGGAGAAAATGCATGCTGCTTCGTGTGTGTGTGTGTGTGTGTGTGTGCGGTCTTGTGTGTGCACACCTGCATGTGTAAAAGTTTGTACTTGTACTCAGGCCAGTATTGAGTTACGAGGAAAAAGACGAGCAGCGTCGTGGTGTTTAGAGGGATGTCAAGGCGAGGATGGAAGCTGGAGCACCACAACAGTTTACAATGAAACTGAATACGGGTAAAAATAATAGAGGAGGGAGATATAGTCTTTCTTTTAATACACTATGATAACCATTGGCCTTGCAATGGGCTTTGCCCCTTGAATACATTACTTTGTATCAAAGGGGACTGAATTGTTGGCAGAATCAACATTTGCACATGTGAGCCCACATAAAAGTCTCAAGTTCAATAATACTCAAATATTGCTTATTGAATATCTCACTAAAGCAACCACAGACATTGTTATGAGGACTCTGCGTGCCGTCGTGGAAGGTAGCGGAAACAGAGTTTTGGCTATGACTTGGGCATATGGGAACCAAACTGGGTTGCACTGTGCACATAAGCTGGGTTCAGAGGTAGGATAGAAAGTTGTTGTTCCTCCCCATCTCTTAGTCACAAATCATTTCCTCTAAGACTGAGGTGGAAAAAAAAAAACAGACGTGTGCCCAGCCAAGGAAATGAAGAGCAAAACTGGGGTAATAGTGCACAGCGGAAAGCCGGAGGAAAAACCAAACAAACTCCCTATTCATAGATAAATATAATAGAGAATGAGGGAAACAACTGGTGTGCAATATCGGATTATAATATATTCCTTCGTGTGAATATGGAGATAAAAAGGCATGAATACTGTCCTCATATGCAAATACCCACACAGACATGAGCAACGTATACTCAGGAAAGTGCGGACATGCAGGTTATTCAGATTCACATCAACAGTACTTGCACTGTGTTCCCTAGAATTACAGCATGATGGAGAGCCGACGACAGCAGAATTTCCCTCCGCCGGTCCTGTCGGCGACAAACACTGGTCCCCTTGTTTCCTCCAGCCAAGCGACTGCTCCAGTTGTTAGGGTTAGATAACACTTGGAGGGTGCCACTGAATGCACGACAAAGGGACAAACTAAGTTTTTGTTCACCTGCAAAACACACGGTCCAACACATTTACTGCTAAACAGTTGCCAATGGCCAATCTGTTTCAGTCCAGTGAAAACTGCATATTTAGTCTTCACCTCAAGTAAAGACTAAATGCTTCTTTGAGTCATGAGAAAGTTCTCTTACTTCTTAGGCTAATAAAAAAACTTAAACTGCCCTTATTTACTTTTTGGCATTTCAGACACAGTTTTTTTACATGTTTGGTTGGTGTAACCCAAAATGGCTTCCAAGCTTTTTAATGTTAGTCTAGAAACTGCTTAAGCATAATTGTATTTTTTTTATTCAATTAGACTTAGAAAATCACACACACACAACATTGTACTCTTAGTTTTTGTGGCTAACATAGCTATCACATGCTACATACACAGACACAGAGCAGCATTGTTATTGAATTGGAGTTGGGGTTTTGGCCATCTGATGAATAAAACATCTAAACTCTGTTTTTACAAGTGGTTTGGTCTCTTTGAAGTTCTGAGAAGAATATCTTGGGGGTCTTTAGACTTTCATCTCTAGCTACTTACTAATTTTGTCTGACTGCTGTTCGCTTCTGGACACGGGTTTTTTTCAGGCCTTGTTTGCTGAAAAACTTGTCCTGCTGCTGCTTGGCACAAGGTTGATGAGAAGACAGAATCACACATTAGGTAACATTAGTGTTTCGCTAGAACCAAAACAATGAGCTGCATTTATAACTTTATAACTTGAATTTAGAACTTCAAGAGACATTTTTGACAACACAGAATTATACAGGTCAATAGGCCTCTTACAAACATATTCATTCTTAAGCTATATGCAAGCACTTAAAGAATTGTTTGTGGCAAAATCCCTAAATTTCTTTGACTTAGAATTTTCTTGTGGGTAAACAAATAAGATTGATTAATTGGAGTTCACCAAAATTGATACAATTAAACAAACTTGCTCTCCACTATATCATCATCACCCTTATAGCTAGCCGGGGTCCAGGTTTTAGCCTTTTTAACAAGCAACATCTACCTTTCAGCAGTTCTCTCACTCTGACAGCTGCTTCAGGGTCTTTTACACAGGCCACTGTCCAGTATCCTCCTCTGTTATAACATCTGAAAGTGTAACCTGTAATCACCTGTCTGCTGTAATATTCTACAGTCTAATATCGCACTGCTTGTCCTCCTCAGAGCAGGACTGAGGGTCCATTAGTTTTGCTCTTAAATGCAATAGGCAGCTGCATGTGGCAATTTTAGACGTATTGATTGTTCTAATTTTCAAGTTTCATATTTCTTAACCCCCTCATGACCAGGCGATATTTACCAGTCAGTGATTTCAGATGTTGGATGCCTGTAGAAGATATGAGTTTTACCATTTAAGTTTAAACTTGTGTTTTTGTTTGTTTAGTTTTTTAGATACAGGTCCTTTTAGGGTGTCTAGCCAATACCAGTCAGCAGAGCTTTAAGAGAATTAGAGTGAATATGGTCTCTGTGTACCATGACTAAGTCGAACATCTTGTGGAGGCCTTCAGACTATACATAACCCAATCGTATCTGCACCTCTGATCTTAGCCACCCAGTCAGACACAGCCAGCTGGGAGTGCGTGCGTGCTTGCGTGTGTTACGCAAGTTACGTGTGAGAAGGAGAGAGAGTGGACCTCATTCATTGTAAGAACGAGATGGTTATACATATGCAGCGTACAACTTAAACAGAGATAGATAAGTTAAATGTTTTACTCACATGCCTTGTGTGTGTGTGTGTGTGTGTGTGTGTGTGTGTGTGTGTGTACTTGTTTTTGCTAGCGTGACTCTTATCCAGCAGCCGCCAGGTAGAGAACATGATGTAACATCTAATAACTTCTGATAATCGTTCAGTGCCGGGAGCCAAACAGGGTCTCCTGACTCATATTTGTAGCGCTCCACTGACCACACACACACAAAGAGAGAGAGACATACACACACACACACACACACACACACACACTGTTTTCAGCCCATGAACACACAACACGATTCTTCATCAGCGTCTAAACACTGAAAAAACAAGCACAGATCTATTATCTAATGTCCTAAATTTACCTTAAATAGGATTTTGCAGTTTCACTGCCCAAAATCATCCAACCACACGTTGGCTTCAACTCATATGCTGAAGGGGAATGCCATTGCTTAATACAAGCTGGCTGATGCTTCGTACACTCAAACACTCGCCCCTCCAAAAGAAGCCCAAGCACATTTCTTCAATTATCAGCCACATGTGCTTTATGCCCATCACCTAAACTAATGTGACCCCGGGCGAAGATGTCCGCTTGTGCGCGTGCTATAACTTGCGTAATGTTAAAGTAAAGCTACCTGTAAGAAATGGCGAGTGTTACATAATCTTCCAGAATTCAATATCCTGTCCATTTCCTGCCTCTCTAGGTGAGACTTTATATCCCGGCTTCCGTAGATAAATATTCCCTGCAGAGGGATTGGCTCTTTGGTATGTTGGACAATCCCCCTCGTTGCGCAGACAGGAATATTTGTGGTGACAGCTGCAGCAGAGAATATGAGGAAAATATTGACTTAAATGACAGCTAATGCATCCCAATGACTTGCTGTAACAAAGTCCTGCAGTAGATGATTACATTTTCAGTATTCAGTCTCCGTGTTAGAATATTAAGTTATCTGCAGTACTCAAAGTTCTCCGAGATGCCTGGAACAAAAGTTAAGTGATTAATAAAAAAAAATGGCATGGTATTATTGTTTAAAGCATCCTCACTTTACTTTTAATGCCTTAAACTCTTTGTACATAAATGAATGCCGCATAAATTAATGGAATAGTTAGCAGAATTAGGGCTGGATTACAGGGTTTATACCACTTCTCCTGTGAGGGTTGCAGGGGGATCTAGAACCAATCCCAGCTGACATTGAGCGAGAGGCAGGTGGACCCTGGACAGATTGCCAGCGTGTAACAGGGCCAACATATTGAGACAAACAATGTATTTCACAGTCAGAACACTGAGAGTCTCCAATTAACCTTACTTGCATGTCTTTGGACTGTGGGAGGAAGCTGGAGAACCTGAAAAAAAAACCTATGTATGTCTTTGTTTTGGTCTACAAATTAACCTCTGTGTTGTATGTAAGCAGTGACTACGCAACATTCAGGTCTTTTTTATTTCTTGCCAAAGACAAATTATTTTTGCAGGGTCTTTTTTCTCCTTTAAATGCAGGCTTTTGCAGTTCTCTCCTTTTGTCCATGAAGTGCTCTTTGAATATAGGGTATTTCACTCTGTATTGTGCTGCTTGCCTTTGCTGTCATGATTTTGGATGGCTCATGAAAGTCCCCACTTCGCAGCCAGGGTCCCCCCGGGCCTCTCTGAGCACATGGGAACAGAGTGTTTGAAGCCTGATGAGAACTCCCATTGCCAGAGAAACTGGAGACCTTGTGGAAACATTTCGCTGATAGCCAATGTATAGATTAGAAGCCTGTCTTAGACCCAGAGCAGTTCAAATGCTTTAGGAGAAGGGATGAAAACAAGTTGGGCTGCCAAAGCACAGAGACTGGAAGACGTGAAGGTGAAAATGTGCTGATGTGCAGAACATGTTTACATGGATGTAAATGTTGGTTATGACAAAGCACATGTTGGTGTTAGCAGGAAAGTGGAGTCATCAGTCACATACTCCTGCACACCATCCATCCATTATCTATACCGCTTATTCCTTTGAGGGTTGCTAGGAGAGCTTGAGCCAATCCCTGCTGACATTGGGTGAAAGGCAGGTTACACCCTTTACAGGTTGCCAAAGTATCCCAGGGCCAACATACAGAGACCATTAATTATTGACACTCGCATTCACACCGACGGCTGATTTAGAGTTGGTGTTTGGTTAATTGGACTGCAGGAGGATGCCAGAGTACCCAGACAAAACCTATGGGGCGAACATGAATGAGAACAAGCAGAAACTCCAATCAGAATTCAAACCAGGAACCTTCTTGTTGCGACAGTGCTACCCACTGCACCACAGTGCCAACCTTTTGCTCATTATTGAAAGTGTAAGTGACTGCAAGTTTTAGAGTTAAACAAGGGAAAACCTCTGACGACACTCCAAAATTCTTTAGGGCAGCTCTGGCCATTGGAAGATTTCGGCTTTCTACCCCCTGTCGCTCTAAAGTCGTGACTTGAAATATATTCTCTATGTGTGCAGGACTCTTAAAGCCTCTGAGCTCAGTTATTGTTGTCAGTGGAAACATTTGAGGAAGTTTGAGATATTTTGGCAGCTTGTTACAAGACAGCAGGGGTGCTGAAATATGTAATTCCATCTGCTCTTTCAACAGGTGCCCCCCAAACATAAGCGTCTGCCAAATACACAGGGACATATTCTTGAACTGTGTATTTTAGTCAAGTGTTTGAGCCTTCATAGAAAAAAAAAAAAAAATCCCTCAATAGATGCTCGTAACAAGAGGAGCACCTTAAGGAAATATAGCTGATACACTGTTGGGGATTCCCGTCCTCCTGTAAATCACATTTAATGTCACCAGACACAAGGAATGTACGGTGTAGTGAAAGTGTGTAATTGCTGTAATAGAATGATGGGCTTGACCTTAAACTGTCGCAGTAGAGCACGCGACGGGGATGTTTTCACCCAGAAAACCAAAAGCAGAACAGCTCTCTGAACATGAGTGTTCAGCACTTTTCATTCAAATGTGTGCACTTACAGCACAAACTCTTCATCCACATCCAATGTCTGCTGTTTGCACTTTTGTTTTAATTCAGGCTCCATTCTATGGAAACTGGCTTCTTATCAGAAGATTTTAATGCCAGTCATCAACTGTGATTAACTCCCAGAAGGGTTTGATCATGCAAGCAGTGCACGAGAATAAACTTAGCATCACTGCAGCTCCTGGAATTTCCATTTAAAGGGCAAATATTTCGGAAATATGTCTTATTGATGTGACTAGGACCCCCAAAACAAACCTCACGTTGTCTGGATTTTTTCATTTGCCCCAAAAGGAGACGATAATTACAGTATTTTGCTTTTCATTTCGGCTCGTGAAACTGCCAGAGTAAATGTTGCATTGGACTCGACATGTTTTTGAGGGTGTGTCGGCGGCTGTAATTTGGCTGAAGGGCCAGAGAGTGAGGCAGTTAAGTTGTTAATCTCAGCGTCAGGATCTGTCTGGCATTATGTACTGAGTGTGTCAGCAGCATGGTGGAAAACACAAGCTGAGTGGTACAGTGAGCCCTATTGTTTTTGTTTCAGTTGAGCGATTTAGTTTGAGCTCAAATTCTGGCACAGAACGATGCAGATCAGAAACAGTGGTCATTGCGAGGACTGAAAGCCACATCGACCAACCCAGCTATATACATTTACATTTACTGTTAGGCTGCTCAAATTAGTTTATTTGGGTTACTGGATAATTGGATTTTATGTCCTGGCACAATCAAAGACTTCACCTGCTTTAATCAACAGAAAAGGTCATTTTCTTTTGGCTGTGTCGTGCCACAATGCAAATATTGAAGGAACGTTTTAGAAATTAAGGGATTTTTTGGCATAAAATATTGATTTTCCATATAAAGAGGGAACACAAAAGGACATGATGAACTCTTGCTCCAACATGGTTGCCCTTGAAGAGCCTAATATGTCCCTGATGGCTGCTGCATACTTTAGTTTAATAACAAACTCAAGAATAATCTGTTGGTGGAACGGCATAATTAAAACTTTTATAGTATGCTTGTTACTCTAAACAGATGTACTGCCATTGAATGGTTGTTTCTTTTAATATGGCCTTACATAAAGTAACTTAAGTTGAACTTAAGCTTTCTGCTCCTGCAGCTTTATGTAGGAGGTGGATCTAAACGTCTGTGATATGGCTTTCACACTCAATACATGACATAGCAAGAAAGTCTTCTGAACCCTGAAGACAGCCAGGACCCTGCATTCCCACTGAATGCTTTTGAAGAAACATGCACTTAAAGCAATGGTATAGGATTACTCTTGTATATTATAAAACCAGTTTAACACGAATGTGGCATACTATGACTTTCAAACTCTTGCTGACATGCACACAGAGCAACAAGAAAGCTCCACCAGCGCTCCAAGCTAAACAAGACCAGATGTGACCAAGGGACGTGGTCTCTGTATTCCCCTGTGCCTTGGTTTGCTCGTGGCATCCCGCTTCCTCTGATTCATCTGAACAAACTGATCTCTGACGGGCTTTTTGAAAATGATTGTGGAGTGCACTTTGTTCATCAAGGCAGATATTCCCTTTCCCTAAGCTAAGACAAGTGAGCAGTATTATGAGCTGCACTGGCCGGTCCATTTAGGCTTCATACTGATATTGAGGTATGGAGTTAAGGTAGAAAGCAGAAAGTGAAATAGCATGACATCAAAGTAGTAGTGCACACTGCAAGCCATAGAGGCTGCGGTGCTACTCACAGTCAACACGTATGTTGCATGGATCAAAATGTATAATCTTGGAACAGAATAAGTCAAGTTGGCCCATGTGTCTTGTGCACAAGAAGTCATTTTGTGCTGATGCATCTTATGGAAAAAGTCACTGAGTTACATGAATATCATATCAAATTTCATGTAACTTCATCATTCTGACCTTGCCATGGACTAAAGTTTTTCCAATGGTCAGGGCATCATCATAATCATTAGGAATTATCTTGTTGGCAAGAGACTGTTTCTGTCTATGTCAAATGTGTTCAAGCATTCAGATACTGAATGTCTAATATGTTTGTGCTCATCAGACACGTCTACATGGTCACAAATCTTCCCATTAAGACAATAGTCTGAATAAAACACTGTCATGTAAAGAGCGTTTTCTGATTAACAGATCCCCTGAGGTCATATTCACAATAAGTAATAATCAAATTAAGACGTGGAGTATTCCGCTCTTATGTAGACATGTATACATCTTAATAGCATTGTAATGTCCTATTGGATATTTACAGCATTTTGCAACATCTACATCCTGCAGTTACCAACTGCTTGACAACTCATTCCCTGGGTTTGAGTGTCAAGAACTTGTAGGACTTAATGTTGACGTGAGTCATTATGAGACTTTGCTCTGTAGCATGTTACCAGTAATATGAATGGAATATTCTATTAGCAACTCATATAAACATCATAATGGAAATAAATATCTTATTCAGAATATGGTCAGAAGTCAGAATATTGGTGTCCATGTAGACGTATTCAATGACAGCTTCTTCTCCCCGTTAGAAAAACGATCAGATGGTAGGATTGGATAGGAATTCTACATCTTTAGGTATCTATATAATCTTCATTCAAATGGCAACCGAGAAATGTTGATCAGTGTGGATGAGTGTAAAAGTTGAGTAAGTCAACAACTGAATTAATGCTGCTGTGTTTGACTCTGAGTCTGTCTTTGTGTCCACTCGCAGGAGCAAGAGGACCCCAACAAGCTGGCCACCAGCTGGCCCGACTACTACATTGACCGCATCAACTCCATGGCTGCTGTAAGTCCAACTCATTGTCTGAATGTCTGTCTCCCTCTATTTAAAGTGAGTGTGTTTAACTGTACTTCAGGCTTCTGACTTGCACTCCGGAGAGGTCACTGTTCACTCCATTCTTTCTCAGATTTCTCTCTTGGCTCGCTTTTTATCATCTCCCCGCTGACTGCTTGTTATAAGTGCATGACCACATTCCTTTGCTGTGACCCCAGCATTCACACACACTGTGATGACAAACAGGCTATTTAGAAACTCAGCAGTCGAGTCAGTGGGAATGACTGTCAAAGACACGGAGCAAAGCCAGGATGACCAGATTCATTATTTCTGGCCTATGTCACTGCCAATATAAACAACACGATACCACTTAAAAAACAGTTTTCTGTCATGATCTCAGTTATACTTTATACAATTACTGCTGTTGTATAAGATTCTCTTATTTGACCATTGACTGGTTCGTGCCAGTGGCCTCTGACCCTGAGATCTTATGTGGACGACGAGTTGGCTCCCAAATGTTTGGAAATCGTAAAACATGACATTTTTTAGAGTGGCTCTTAAAAGATGACACGTAGTCATGAAATTCAGAGACTTACAAGTTAATAGTGAAGACAGTCGAGCAGGAGCCTCTTGTATCAGTAAAAAAAATGTTCAGCATTTCAGTTGGTTGATTTTGTTGTTTTCCTTTATGCCACTTAATGCAGTCTAGTATTTACTAGTCTTTCCAGGCCATGGGTCAAATAAATTGTTCCACAATAACTTATATAGACTACCTTAAACTCAGGGCCAAAATGTAATGACATCTAATATCTGTTTATTGCTATTTTGTTTGCTGTTTTGGCAAACACGCCTGGGCCAACAATCCACATTGAACATTGCTATTTTTACAGCTGTTTTTGTTTATGGGATGAGAAGGAGCTACCTCTGAATGGAGCACAAGTACCTGAGCACTGGAGAAAGTATTTTTCTGTCATTTATTTAAGCCTAGACTGCACATACACATGCAGACTCACATAGACACACACTTTATTTGCAGTGAAGTTAAGAGAAAGCACTGATTTATAAGTTGCCAAGAACTTAAAATCTGCAGAGGCTGTAGCGGTGCCTCTGTGCTATTAGATGTCAGACACGCTCTCAGAGTTATGTTTCAGCCTTTCTTTTTTTTTGCCATACTACTGTAAAGCAGGTCTTTGCACTCTGCAAATCATTTGTTTATAGTCTGCTGTATGGAATGTGTAGAGCTTTAAAATGTTGGCATTGCTTTAAAGCTAGTGTAAAATTTAGCCAGTATAAGATATTTCCATTTTATTCCACTGGTTTAAAAAAAGTGTCAGTATAAGTAATTGCAATAATACTGTAGAGGAGGTGGGGGATACTTGTTTGAAGAAAAAGAAAGTAAAACAAGTTGATTTACATTGGAAACAACTGGAATTATATCCTTTTTTCTTGCGAAAAGACGATTCAAATTGTACGACTCTATAATAAATGAAATAAATTGTTGAAGAAGGTATTTTTGGCTGTCCCTATTCCCTTTTGTTGCACAAGAAGTCTCTTGTTCAAGCGCCACTTCAGCAGCGTCTCCTTTATTTACCATAACTACAACCAATTTCCTCCCCTTCCTGAGTCACTTTTTCACCCCCAATAACAGTCCTCCATTTGCTCCGCCACTGTGCTCCAGACAGAATCTTGACAAGAGAGCATTTTTCAAATTTGGAGGTGCTCCGCTTGTCCATGACTTCATAGCTTGGCTCACAGATATAAGCTCATTCACCAGGGACAGCCCCTTCCACAGTAGCCGAGTTACTGGATGAGTTCATTTTCGCTGTGCCGCCCAAAGAGATTAGTGTACAACCAGCATCTTGGATGTTCATTCATAAAAGCATGTCAGAGCCCCCCCCATGTTAGCCACTGAGTGATAAATGTCCCCATGACTCTGTAACCCTGCTGTGTCCACGCTCGTGTGCAGGGCCTCACAACTCCCACCTGGATGGGCTTTTCTGAAGATGGACAGAAAGGGAGATCCAAAACAAGGGGAACAAGGAGAAAGGCCTGTTATTTAGCAGTGATGTGAAGAAATCCACAAACATTAAGATTGCACCTCACAATGTTTAAAAAGGGAATCATACCAGCATTGTAAATGCAAAAACAACCATGGAGCCGTTGAATAGTCAGTTAGGTAGTGACGAAAAACCGCATTCATCATATTTACACAAGTAAATTTGATGCTATTCATTAAAATAACACCCTTTTTTCAACACTTTAGTTAAACTTATGCACGTAGTCAAACAATTTTCTTTCACTTGAAATGAAAATTCAAGTGTTTCGACAAAAGATGTCACAAAAACGGCTTTGAAGGAGAAAAGATATTGGTAATTTTACCACATTATAATTAACCGTCTTTCAACAGGATGGTTAAATGGTTTCCAGTCACATCATTCCACTCAATTTCAGTTGTTAGTTTTTTTAGCCACAGGGGAACAACAGGATATTAGTTCGGTTACAGCCAGTATTTTGTTAGCTTAATTAGGTTTTCTGCCTATGTCTGACTTTGCAAAGCTATTTTAGTTAAAAAAAACAATGTTGTTTGCCTTAATTTATTTTGAACAAATTTTACTGGACGCATTAGTAACGCACATGGATGAAATTAAGGTTTTGATGAGCTTCACTCATCACTCACTCAGTTAACGACCCACTGACGACTAGCTTGAAGGTGCAGTTCTGGCTCTAGGGGGCACTTCCCATAATAAGGATTTAGGAAAGTACCTTCTGCTGGTTTACCAACCAGCTATAATAATATCCTTATGTGCATGTTGGCCACAGGTTAGATCAAGCTTACAAATAACAGATGTAGGAAGGAGCCATTTGGCCAGACTCATTGACATGGTGAACTGGCTCGCAGCACGACCAAATCATTCACTCTCTCCAACACTTGTTGTGTCCAACTTCCCATTGACTACTAGCATATTCGTTGAGAGAAACCGGAGCCAGAGCTTTTACTTCTTGGCACAGGGTCCTTCAACCATCTGGAGTTGAGGCTAAGTTGACACGATGGATGTTTTGACTGCGCTGTTTCTAGATTAAACACTCTCGCTCACTGGACAGACCAGAGCTGTTGTTAGGTAGTCAAACATGGGGTGGCTTCAGTTTGCCATGTGGGTGCTGTTTGTCCAAAGCAGTCATACTGAGAATATTTCCACCCTGTTTTTGACCCGCAAGTCTTTTTTATTAAGGGTTTAAAGGCTGGAAAACAGGGACATTTAAGCAAATCAATGGGCGGCCACTGTGACTAGATCTCTCCACTGCTGAACCACTCATTGTTTGAACCTTAGCACTTGGCAGTGGACTGACATGGAAAAAAGCCTGGAGAGGCTAAACAGAAGCCCTATGGCCCTGACTAATGGGAGCACAGTAGCGCTTTAATGTTATTGAGGGAAGCCTATAAGTGATGTAGAAATGCATTAACGCTATACCGCTGGTCTAAGTGTTTTTTTATTAATCACCCTATTCATTGAAAGCTTGATTGGAGCTAATTGTCTGCATGACTTGTTTTGGCGTGTCTATAACTTCAAACAGTTCTTTCAAAGAAAAATAAAAGTATAGGGGGAATACACTTGATCTGTTTGATTTGTGGTGCCTGAAACTTCAGCTTACTAATGAGGCTCTGATTATGTGCTGCTCGGGCTAATTGAAACAAGCACATTTACTTATAAAGAGGAGGTAGCATGTACTGGTGCTGTCATATTGCTGCCAAGTTATGATTAAGGTTGACCTAGTTGAAACAAAGAAAAGCTTAATGTAAAGTGAAAAATTCAGAATGTATGCCAATAAGTAATGTATCCAGTGGCGGCTATGGTAAAACTAGAATTCAGGAATATGAATCAGTTGTTTTTTTTTGCAGATGCAGACCCTGTTTGCTTTTGATGAGGAGGAAATGGAAATGAGGAACAAGGTGGTGGAAGATCTGAAGACAGCACTTCGGACTCAGCCAATGAGGTAAGTGAATCTCCCACTTTACCAACACTCTGCACTTTTCCTCTGCTGCAGACCATTCTGAGAATTGGTGCGAGCCTTATCAGTCATGCACTCCTACTACTTGACTTGTTGAGGAAGTTCCACACATATTAAATCCAGTTAATAATGTAACATGCTACAAGAAAGATATCACTGTCTGTTGTCATGGCAAAGGGTCCTACATACTTACAACTGAAATACCAGCAATTAAATATATTTTTACATCTAGACTCTCCCATACACTGCAGCTGTTATAGGCTCACTCATTACCAAAAAGACATTTTCAAGGACATTGGACAGTCCACTAATACAAACTGCCTCAGTCAGCAGCTTCTTTGGTGCTGTCAATCATGCCTGTGCCAGTTGTGTGATTCAGTGGTCTGGACCAAACAAGGGGTGTTGAGTTTTCTTAAGGGGAGCTATTAAGTGACAGACCTAATGTGCAGAATGACAAAAGACCCAGGACAGTTTTAGTGTCTGGGTCATGTCTGGGCTGTGTGTGTTTTAGAACACGTCTGTAACCATAATTGTGTTTATCTATGGAAACAAGGTTGGAAAGAAGCTGCTTCTAGCGTCATTAGAAAGGTTGCTGCTTCTGGCCCTTCACAGTAAACCATTTTTAAAGATAATTGTACATAAAGGTGATCTTTGAATGTATTCTATACTGTGGAAAGTAATCACCTCTTACTGATGTTGCAGCATATGCTTTCATCATGGATACAAATAGAAGAATATAATAAAGTATTATTTATACTTGTTCAAATCATTAACAAAAAGTCCCAACAGTTGAATATGGGTATGGAAAAGCTCACACTAGTTGCTTTAGCTATAGTTAATATGTTTACACCACGCACAAAAGCTATGTTACAACATTATCCATCACAAACTAGAAATACTGCACTGTGGTTGTATGTCGCTGCCAACCAGTGCAGTTTCAGTCTGCATAAGTATCTTTTACAGACTCATATGAGGTCACTGTGACATTGACCTGAGACCAATGAGATGCTATCAGGTAATCTTTGAGTCCGAGTGAAATTTGAACAGACTCGAGATAAAATGTTCAAGAGGCCAAACACATGTTTTGTGTGGACACTTGACCTTTGACCTTCAAAAGAAATTCCCTCAACATGTTTCCTAGCCGTCACAGTCACATGACCAAAAACTTCTTTTGAAAGGTCATCGTGACCTTAACCTTTGACCTTCCACCACCAAAATCCAATTGGCTCATCCATGTGATATGAACGTTTTTACCAAAATTGAAGAAGTTCTCTCTAGGTGTTGAGCTCACAAGGCAAACTTGTGCCTTCTGAGTTCACCACAACCTTTACCTTTCACCTTCGACCACAAAAATCTATTCACTTCATCCTTGAGTCTTTAAAAATCCCTCTAGATGTTCTTCAGATATCGTGTTCCCAAGAATGGGATGGATGGACAACCTGAAAACATAATTCCTCTAAAACAGCTCAAACAAGACAAACGATAAGCCCAATGTTGGAATACTGTCTACAGTGTTTACAGTCATAATGTAAAAAGGGAGAGTTGTGAACACTTACTTTTTATGCATATCAAGGTGTAATGGACAATTCAAACTGATAATATGGTGTGTGGTCAAAGACTGTTTGCTGAGTTATGACAGTGAATCAGAAAGGAGAATAACTAGCCCATCCTTGTTTCCAGATTCTTTTTTTCTCTTTCACTTATTCACTCCCTGTATTTTATTCAACTGTAGTTAATCTACCTCATCAGTGGTGGCTGAAATGACTCGGTCAGCACCATTCAGAAATGCATTTGCACCCATTGTGTTCACCAAGTGAGTTACAGCTCATTAGCATGCAGATGTTTTTAAGTACTGGAGCAGTGATGTGGGTAGCAGGTGTGTCCCACAGTATATGGGTGTTCAGGGAAAGTCTGGGCAGTGTGTTCATGTCCCGCCAAGTCTCAGCTTTGGGTGAAAAGATGTCTGGGTGACATCTGAGCACCTCACCTAAGAATCCTCTTTATGTATCACACACAAAGAGACACAGTGTGTCCCTTTTGTGGGAAAGGGACACTTCTGTATCCCCTTTGTGTACGCATATTGTCTTTAAGGCGGCATTTTGTTAGACATGGTTGTGTCCAACCCGTATTGAGCCTTGATTCATGCCTGCTTTTGGATGACTGCCTGAAACAGCCCCCACCCTCCTTCTTTCTGGCATTTCACAGAGGCAGCTGGGTCTGGTTGTGAAGCGGTGTCCTTGTGCCCTCAGCCCGCTCTGCAGGGCCACAGGACCCAAGCACATCATGGGCATGCAGGGTGCCAGGCGGAGCGCACAAAAGCAACACATTGTCAACAAGCTACCCACTGATGTCACTTTCACTCACAGGCAGATAATAACCCATTGAAATGACAAGGTGACATGGTTAACGTACATGGAATGTGATATGAACACAGACTACAAAGTTATTTAAAAGTGTGCATGTTCATTTCCAGCACCCAAACCTCATTAGATCCCCTTTATGTTCAAATTTCTGTTTTGCATAAACTAATTCAAACTGAGGTGGTACTCAACCTTTTTGATTTGTTATGCTTTAACTTCATGGCCTCCTCATCCCATGTTACTGTGTGGCTGTAGTGTTCTGGAGGAGCTCAACCAAAATCTTTTTGGTCTTCTTCTCAGGTTGTTTCATTATAAAGGTCAATAGAGGCTTTAAGAGGTGATCAGTAAATCATTAAGTATTCCACAAGCAGGAATAAACAAAACTAAAAAAAGTTATTTGTCCGCTTAAATGACAAGTCGAGTATTCCACTTAGAATTGTGCTTTGAGATGTGGGCCTGCTTTCCCTACTTGTATCGACCCCTTTTGTGTTTTAAAATGTCAGAAGCACAGCAACTAATGCAGGAACTGTGAACTGACAAGGGCAGGGTACCTTGTTACAATGCAACTGAAATCACATCCCTATTTCAGAGAAACCTGTATGTCAGCAGGCAGATCTTATTCCTACTGTGAGTGATGCTATACTTTACCATTTACCAGAAATTAGCTTTTAATAGCTATAATTGTCCATCTAATTTAATGGCTCAGATGTTATAAACAGCCATAAAAAATTAGACACTTGGAAAATTGGCTGAATTATTCTTCCACTTGAATTTACAGCTGAACATTTTCCCTGCCAGCAGTTATTGCTTTGTTTATCAGCTGTCAAATGGAGCTTGAACGCTCACAATGGGAATGTATGTTTACTCACAGAAGACTGAGTGTGCATGTGAGGGCCAGTGTGTGAAGACAAACTGCCACAGCCAGCTGCGTAGTCAAATCACATCTGCATGCCCTGGTGTACATTTCACTTTAGCTTCCAGATATTGAAATACATTGGAGCTCAGTGGGTTTTTAACTACGCTGTTAAGTGCACTTACATGAGCACTGTTGACCTACTGAGTCATCTGCACATCTGCTCTATGTCTGCTTTGCTGAGCGTGCTGTGTGGGCATTCTCCTATCCAAAACATCATGCCCCTCAATCACTGTCATTTCGTTGGTGGAATAACTTCACAAGGACTGTGACGATTTTCATGGGGTCACAGAGGCTGCACTGGCCCAGGATGCACTGCAGTCCCAGGCTCACGTCAGCGGAGCATTGCGATGCTTCCCAGAACGGCTCTCATGCACATTGTGTCCGCAGATCTCTTCCAGCAAGAATATTGACTCGAGTCGACTGCAGCCGTTCCCCTCACTCCTGTGTCAATAACCCTTTGGACGATTCGCTACCACCACATGCAAATATTATCCCTCAAAACATTTTGCCGCCGGATCTCTCAAAGGTTCTGTTAGAAGAGGGTGAACTTTATATCTGTTTATACATATTACTGGTTACATTAGCGGGGGAGTGGAATATCGCACCTTTAAAGGATCTTGGATGGAACCATGTTTTTGCTTCTCTCAGAGCGCAGATTTCTCACCCTTTGCTCCTTAGGGGGGAAGTGGAGAGAAGAGAGGGCCAGGTGGGTAGATATAGGCAGATTTGAAGAGACTGATCCTGCTGCTGAGGGAGGTTTGTGTCTACAGATGGAGAGTGGGGGAAAATTGTGGCGTGAAGCACAGGGGTTATAATCCGCCTTCACTGTAATCCCCCACATTTGGCTGTTCATGTAATAACATACGTCCTCTTTGCCCCTGTTAAGGGCATACAGTCAAAGCACTAGAGTTACAGGGAGGTAAACTGTTTATCTACTTTCTCAGCTTATGTTTGATGAAGTGAAAATCCACAGAAGTCTGTTTACAGGTGTCGGTGAGTTGTACTGCATTTCAGGCAACTACTGTAGCAGCAGATCATAGTAGTTTGGCGCCAAGGCTCCGACTTCATCACCCCTTATGAAATGCAAAGTGATGAGCGAATATTTTTAACTCTATTCAACCCCTGTTGGAGCCTACAGGTGGAGGCTGGGGTGGTGAAGGGGCTGAATGGACAAGCATTTTAAAGCAAAGGGAGAGATGGAAAATCTTTGAAGCTTAAATAGAGAACCCAAGTTATGTCACTAGATTCAACGTTATCTGTGGCTGAAGTTTGAAATGAAATAAATTATGAAAGTTTGAGTTCAAAAATGTTGTTTGACACCAGCAACTCAGGAAACGCTAGCCATTACTACCATAGCACACCCAAATCTCCATATGAACTGTCGGCAATGCATTCACATTGCATTGTGGGTAAGAAGTATGACAGGTTTTTATAAGAAAAAAGTTGATTTCTTTAGTTTTGCAGCATAAATCTGTATTTTTACTGTCCATTTAGAGTCCAACAGCCTTATGCTATTGTTATAAGAGTGCAATAGTAAATCAGTGGTTAAGTGTGTATTTAAGTGTTTGATTAATGGCTCTGTGTGTATGCTCTTGGCTTCGTTAAGTTACAGAAGCCAGAGCTTGCGTGCTACACATATACAGTATAAACATATATAAACTGCTCCTTGAGGATTTAGTGATAAACCCAGTCCATTAAAACATCTAGTCTATGCCATGCAACTTAAGTAGACATTACAGATGTGCATGGTGTCCAGGGGTTTTATTGTTATCTCCACACATGTGTGTCAGTTTTCTGTTTATTACCTTTTGTTCGGCCCTTTTGTTTTACCACAGTTACGCACTGGGCTTCACATCAAGTAACATTTATTTGAGTGAGAGTGGTGGTGATATTGTGTGACTCGGTCATCTAGTGTTTACCGGCACCTCTGAAGAATTTCCTGGGCTCTTGTCCACATTCTGACCCTTTTATAGTAGAATAAAAGTGTATGTGTGTGCGTGTGTGCTTGGGTTAGGTAAGTGGATGTTTGAAGGAGACGTTAAGTGTGTGTGTGAACATGAACATGGTGATTACATGAAGGACAGAGGAGAGGCATGAGAGCACATGGTCACTTGAGTTTGTGTGCTTGGAGGTGTGTGGTCAGGATTTGACGGCGCAGGTTGAACTCTTGACCGACTGTCTGCCACACAGTTGTCAACCTTAGACTGTTTTGTCTGTGTAGCTGAAAGCCCAAACATGCCATTTTGTTGGAATGAATTTCTGAAGTTAAGTTTGAGCATCTGGATTAGTTTTCAACATTGTCCTATTCATTTTGATATTTCTCTGCCTCTGGTTAAGGGGGTTTTACGCTTTACTGATAAATAGAGATTAATGGTCTCTATAAAGATGGATCACATACGACATTGGTAGTTATTTAATAATAAAATAAAAAGTAAATATCTCTGGGTTCCATCAGAAGTTTGATCTGCAGCTAACCTTACATTACCTGCGACCAGCCTTGGCCCTGGCTCAATGCACATAGCAGTCATTTTTTGTTCACTTGTGTTTAGTCTTGTCTCATTCCAAGTTTTAGTCCTCGCTTCTTTCTTTTGTCTGTCTGGAGAACTCTGTGTGCATGTGTGTGTGTGTTTGCGTGTAGTTGGCTCGGCCTGCGTATTGTTCAGCTCTGCCTAAGCTCATATTGTATGCAGCAGTTGTCTTGAACGCAACCCCAGCGGGTTTTCAAGAATGCAGTGGTTGTTCCAAAAACAAAAAAAAGAGAGAGGGAGAAAAGAAAAGGAAAAAAAGAGGAGGCCTGCACGCCAGTCGACTGAGCGTGAATGTCAGCGGATCGGAGGAGACAAGAGGAGACTCCAAAGTCGGAGGAGATGGGATCCATTGATTGAAGTGCTCACTGGAGGGAGAATAAAAGACAAGGAGGAGGGAGAGTGGCTGAATGTCAGCTTCTTGGGTTTAGTTAACAGTGCAGAGCATTAGTCACTGTTGAATATCATTGGAGCCTCACATGTATGTTTCCATACATCAATCACAAGGATATTCGGCAAAATTTCTCTTGCACTGGCCCCGTAATTCACGGACAGGCGTATGACTATCCCCTGACTCGTCTGACATGCCAAAGACTTGTCACCGCTACGAGATGACTATCTTTTAACAGCTGGATCGGCCTCACCTTGCTTTGATTCCAATGTCTGTTTTACATCTGAATAAAGCCATATCTTATATATTGGAAATGTATTTTTTGTCACCTTGGTGTCGAGTGGAGGCCAAGACTTCTTCTAAAACAAGAAGCCCACTGTCTGCTGAAAGGCTGTGTGTGTTCTCTATGATTTCACTTCTCTGTCAAGGACGGCTGTCTGTATGCATGCATGCATGTAGTATGATCTTCTTGATCTCATCCATGCGCCTCCGGGAATGAGTGGATTATCTCTGTGAGATTTACTGGTCATGTCAGGTAACGCCTGTGTGTATGTGTGAGCGCTTACGTGAGTGCTGGAAATCTGGGATTGATCATGTGTGGTGGGGAGTATAGGAAAATAATTGGATGATTTACATTTTTGTTCATGTTTTTTTATTTTTTATGAATGCTTGTCTGAGCAAAGACTGCAGTGGGAGGCGATGAAGCTTTTGACATCAAAACAACATATCTTTTACCATGAGTGGTGATAAATCTCTGCTCTCAGACCGTCTCCGTCCTTTTCTCTTCCTCTCTTTGTCCTTGTCTCCTCTTTCTCATTTTTTCTTACAAGCCCTCATTTGTTTGAAATAATTCATGAGGCCTATCTGGAATCTTAGCAAGTGGGAAGGTCAGCCCACGGTGTGCTCAGTAGATGTGTCATCCCTCAATGTTTACATGTCCCGTCTGTCATTCAGCAGATCTGCTTCTTTCCCAGAGAGGCCATGGACGTCTAATTGGTTCAGCTAATAAGGGTTTTCAGCAGGAATTTGGAAAACCTTTGTGTGTGACATGTTTAAAGTTTACATATATAATATGTAACTAATCTTTATTAAAATGTCTTAAAATGCCTTAACCTTTGTTATACATTTTAATGACTTGTGTTCTCACATTATCCATAATGAATACAATTATTGTCAAATCCCCAATCTTTTGAATGTGATATTCACACCGTACCTTCCAACTATTAAACTAAAAATACACTCTTTGTTCTCCATATCTTCATCAGGTTTGTCACACGTTTTATCGAACTGGATGGCCTCACCTGCCTCCTCAACTTCCTGCGCAGCATGGACTACGAGACGTCAGAGAGCCGCGTCCACACCTCCGTCATTGGCTGCATCAAGGCCCTGATGAACAACTCGCAGGGCCGAGCTCACGTCCTGGCCCACCCGCAGAGCATCAACACCATCTCACAGAGCCTGCGGACGGAGAACATCAAGACCAAAGTGGCGGTGCTGGAGATTCTCGGGGCAGTGTGCCTGGTGCCTGATGGACACAAGAAGGTGCTGCAGGCCATGGCACACTACCAGAAATACGCTGCTGAGAGGACTCGGTTCCAGGTGAGAGGAACTGCGGCAATCTTTATCGAAAGTGTCAGAGGTGAAAACAGCTGTAACGTTCCATGAATAGTTGGGGAGCCTTTGCCGGAGACATGGGGCAGACGAGGACTATGAGAAAGGGCAGACAAAATATTTGAGAGCAATGCTTAAATAAATCAAGCTGTAGTCCTTTTGATTAGTTGGAGACTTGTGCTGTAGTGCCTCAGACTGTTGGCCTCAGGTTAAGTCAACACACAGGCCATATTTAAATGATGTGAGGACATGCAGAGTTATGGAGGTCAGGGAATGTGTGATGCTTTAGTAACTAGCAGGACTGAGTCAACAAACCACATCTAACACGTCCCCAGGGCTTTGCGGTAAATCACGCCACCTCGTGCTAAGCTAACACCACAGGAGCTGAGTCATCCCAAACCTAAGAGGCCTTTTAATTGTAATTTGAGTTATGATTAAGCTGCCGAAGTATGCGGGGGGGCAGAGCGAGCCAAGGGTGTAAGAAGCTACCTGCTTCTCTTGCGTATTGTGTCACAGCAGTTAATTAACTAATATTCCCATCAATCTTCACCATTCAGACTCTGCTGAATGAGCTGGACAAGAGCACAGGCCGCTACAGAGATGAGGTCAACCTGAAGACAGCCATCATGTCCTTCATCAATGCTGTGCTGAACGCTGGAGCAGGGGAGGTCAGTGTAAACACCTTTACGTCTTCCTAAATACACACTATCAGTAAACATAGAGACAACTTACCTGAATGTAGCAGTAAAATAAGCCATGGTACATTTTTAGATCAGATAAGATTTTCTGCAAAAGGTATATCCACTCTTTTTGTTTGTACAGTAATGGTGAAGCAACAGCTATCAGCCCAGCTATCTGTTAGTTTGAATTCATTATGAGTTGTTGTGTGACTGTAATATTATATATTTGCATAAATTATTTTAATCCTATTGTGCTGATGATAAACGTTCCAACTGCCTGTTTTCCACTGCCATTGTTGGTCCTCCATTAATTTATCTTACTTCTGAACAGACTGTATTTTTCTGTCAAACTTTCCTCAGTAATTTTACAGTTAAGATTCATAACAATCTCCTGTCTTGTTGTTAACTCTTTTCAGGACAACCTGGAGTTTCGCCTCCACCTAAGGTACGAGTTCCTGATGTTGGGCATCCAGCCGGTCATCGACAAGCTCAGAGAACATGAAAACGCCACCCTGGATAGGTGAGAATTAGACCCTAATGAGCAAGAACCAATAAAGCATCATCAGCGACCAGATTAAATCTTTTCACCCTTGTGTTTTGTTTAAGCTTTACCTCTGTACTGTTTCCCATGCACCTCACTGATTTACGTTTTAAAATGATGATGGTGCAGTGGTTATTACTGTTGCCTCACAATACAAAGGTTCTGTGTTCTATTGGTAACCCTTGTCTTTGACTCACACATGAAAGTGACAGAATAAGTAACCATAATAGCATTGTTATTGCACAATATCCCTTAGGTTTCTGGGTTACACATCAGCATTTGCACTGTATATATTATTTATTTACAAATTATCCTTTTTTTAATGATGGCACATATATCTTAGAGGTCAAACTTTAATTAGAGCTATATTTAAAGTCTGTTTTTGAATAGACTTACTGGAGAATTTGAAGGGATGGTTTGAAGGGAGGTTCTATCAATCATCATTGTATTTAACAAAGTTATAGATATGGAGTTTCTGAGACTCCAAGCATTAGTAACTTGGAAAAAGTTGAGGATTAACAAGTATTAAGATGATAAAATAAAGTGAAGTGCAGGCTTGGGCTGACTGCTTCAGGTCTCTTGGCCCTCAAATGCAGCATTAGGGTTAAACGAAGGCCTTGTAAATTCTTTAATCACAGGCTGTTACTTCTCTCTCCCCAGGCATTTGGACTTCTTTGAGATGGTGCGGAATGAGGATGACTCAGAGCTGGCCAAACGATTTGATATGGTGAGTAATCTACAATTACTCTTAGACAACAGTCTATTGTGTTGTCAGGTTATCCTGTCAGAGAGGGCACTGTTTTACCTGTGTGACTCAATCTGCCAGAATAGATATCAGATTTATAACCCATTTACAAGTGGTTATCTTCTATTCCTTTTTACAGACCCATATAGATACCAAGAGTGCCGGTGCCATGTTTGAGCTGATCAAGAAGAAGCTGAGCCACACAGACTCCTATCCCCACCTCATCTCCATCCTACAACACTGCCTGCAGATGCCATGTGAGTTGCTGTTTATAGGTTTTCATGTATCCGAATTTTCAAAAACATGCTCATCACATCAACTTTTGATAATAAACTTATACCGCTTAATTGGCCCTTCATTACTGGTTCTGCCTGTGACCTGACATCCAGATAAGCGTGGTGGTGGCAGCCTGCAGCACTGGCAGCTCTTAGACAGGATCCTCCAGCAGATTGTTCTACAGGACGAGAAGGGAGAGGATCCTGACATCTCCCCCCTGGACAACTTCAGTGTTAAGAACATCATTCGCCTGTAAGTGGAATCTTGTAATACGCGACCAAAGGACATACTTTACACACAAAAACAGACAGTGTACAGTATAGAGCATCACAGTGACTGTCCACTGTGACTGTCCACTGTTGGAACAGCTCAGCTCTGTTCTAACTAGAACAGTTAGAACAGAGTGAGGAAACATCCCATAAACCATTGCGAATTATTCCTTTCAAGAGTGCTTCTTCTTCAAATGAAACTTGCTGTGATTTCTCTCTAAAAGACAACAGCATTTTAGAAAGGGAAATCACAATTGCTCTGTGGCTAACATAATGTAATGCTGAATGATTTAATTGTATGGGACATCATTTTCGTGTTTGTAGTAAACATTTCCACGGTAACAGCGAGCTCCACCATACATATACGTTACTCTAACACCTTATTGGATTGTGGGTAGTGTGGTACATCACAGACAAAACATGTCTTTCTAAAATCACAGTTGTTTTAATTGGACTTGTAGCTTCTACAGGAGCTTATAACATTGTTCCACAATCTCAGTTTGTGGTGAGTCTACCTTGGACGGTTAAAATATTATGGCTGATAATCTCTTTTCAGAAAATGTATAATATTTTTACTTCTGGAACTCCACTATTGAGCTCTATACAGCAGTGAACAAAATTACCACACAGCTTGATTGATGAAGATGGTCACACACCAGTCTGACGCATTCACATGACAACTGTCAATAATCGTTACTGTATGATAACTCAGTGCTGTTAATGGAATTCCAGGCCAAACATTTTACTGTTATTCACCAGAGTTCCGGTGCTCCCCTCCATATCTTTTTTACAGTCTCTCATTATCCTTTTGAAGCTGTAAACACACTCTCATTCATGGAAAGATCCTGTGGTTAATGCGTCCAATCAGCATAATTTCTAACTTGGATCAAGCACAAGCCTGATAGCAGCATTATGCACTTTTATGTCAGAATGATTGAGGCTCTGCTCGAGGGCAAAGAGGCAGTGGAATAAATGAGTGATGCTTCAGAGCTTCGTTGTCAGGAAACATTTACAGTAAACCAGTAATCATTTGTAATAAGACTTGATTTTCGAGCTGTTTTATCCATGACAGAGGTGGAGGCAGGGAGTGTGCAGCAAGGTGGAGGTTTGGTGAAGGTGGCAGCAAGGAGTCGTGTGCAGAATCTGAGTAGGCAATGATGCAATGTGAAATGGCGTGAGAGCGGAAGCAGGAAATCAAAAGGATATTGTTCTAAGTACCTGTATTGTTCTAGTGTCTGTACGCACTGTACACTGTTTACAGTCTGAGGCAAATGTTTCTCTGCATTAAACTTAAGTGAAACTTTTTGTATGTGTTTTGGGTTTAGATTAACAGCTATCTTCATATGAATGCAGATAAAAGAAAAAAGTCAGATAGCTGATGCATTTTGGTCAATATGTTTCGCCTCTTTTGCTTCCCACCACACACTGTTTCCCTTTGGGCAACCAAAGACTGCTCAAACCTGATTTGTCAAACTATAAATGGAAACCAGAAGGCTTCCAGCCCCAAAATGTTGTTTCTTGCCGACAGATTCTCTATGAATATATATATGAATATTTAAAGATATTAGGTAGTGTTAAAGGATGGTATCCAGAGCTTTGTCCATAAACCACAGTTAGTGTTTCTTCAACCAATGGAACTCAGTTTCTTTTTGTCAACATGCTGTCATTCTTCATTCTTTCACCATCTCCTTTCTCTTCCACTCTGCTCATTCTTGTTATTTCTGCTCAACTTTGCAGATCAGTGATAAATGTGTTTAGTCTCAGTGGTGAAATCACCATAAAATATGTAGCCTGGTAAAACTTGGCCCCAGCATACTACTACTTTGTTCGCTAATTCAGCCTCCATTGTTTGTGCAATCAGCACACTCCAGCATAATTCTTTCCACAGTGTGCAGAAAACGAACCTGCATCTACGCCCGCCTGGACGTCCATTAGTGTCCATCGCAGATCCATCACAGCGGTCAAAACCTAGCCCTCGCTTTACATTACTGCCAAAGAATGGTTGTGTTTCCATAAACTCTCCTTGACTATATTGTGCCTGGAAAAATAGTGCATAAACTGAGATTTCCTCATTGTGTTGGCTCTGTGCCGGAGGCCCAGACTGTTCACGGGTGAAAACGTACAGTCTCGTGCCGCAGTTCATAGGGAGAGAGAATGTAGTTGGGTGGGGGGTGGGGCCCTAAAACAACTGTTAAAACAACTGGGAGACAAAGTCATTCATCATCTGCGGTTACCATGACGACTCTGACCATTCACACGTGTGCTTGACCCAAAATTAACACTCTTGTACAAATCATATTCTTTCCACAGCTATGTGAAGGTATTTATTTGACTTCTCAACAATAAAGTCATTGTGTCTTTTAGTTTGAATGAGATGCATCCATTGATCGTTGCTGGAGCTGTAATTAAAACAGTTCTGACTTTGTAATCAAGTTCAAACTGTCCTGTTCACTAACGCAAGCACTTAGAGCAACTGATTAATGACCAATTTACCTTTAAATGGCCTGGTGGATTTCCCCGTGTAACTTGATCCTCATTGGCATCCTACTGAGCTCTATTCCGTCTTTGTAGTTCCTCCTCTCACTCTCTTTCCTATTGTTTGTTTATACTCTCTGCTTAGTGACACTGAAACATGTCTATTCTCTCCACTCCAGCTATGGCAACCACCGATGCACAAGGTTTTCACTTTCCACTGTATTCATCTAAATTAATTTCTCAAAAACATCCCATTTTTCACTGTTCTTTCATTCAGCTTGTATATGGTCTTCATGGTTTTCCCTTTCTGATTACTTCATTATCTAAAACACTCATTTGTCACTACTACATTTCAGCAATAACACAACGTCAGCGTAACCCTGTTTAACTTCAATCCTCTGGCAGAACTAAAAGCCAGCCTTCATAACTGAATTGATTTCAGCCACGCAGGATTTATTTTTGCACTAATGTTACACTGTGCGGCTTAAAAGAACAAACTGTATCAACCCAGTCAATGTTGCGCATGAATCTGACCCTCTCTTACCAAAATAAAGACAAATGGTTTTCAAATCCAATGATTCAATTTCCTCAAAATGTGGAGGCTTGACTTGGTTGGACTGCAGTTGCAAGCATTTTGTGCAAGGCTGTGCTCTGTTTATCTGTTCTTGCTTCTTATTTTTGTCTGCCTGCTCCACAGGTTGGTCAATGAGAATGAGGTGAAACAGTGGCGAGACCAGGCAGAAAAGTTCAGGAAAGGTAAAACCTGTTTGATACACTGCACTCTGCAGGTTAAGAGAGAAAATGCATTGTATCTCCGTTAGTCAGTATCTCAAATACATTTTGCCTCCAAATCATTACCTGCTTTTCTGTATGTACAGTACCGATATGAATCTGCATGAACACATTTCTGTGCCATTGTTTCCTTTCAGATCATGTAGAGCTGCTGGCTAAATTAGAGAAGAAGGAGCGGGAGTGTGATACCAAGACCCAAGAAAAGGAGGATATGATGAAGACTTTGAACAAGATGAAGGACAAGCTACTGCGTGAGGGTGTGGAGCTGCGCTCAGCCAAGGAACAAGTTCTGGATCTATCGTCACGCATCAATGACATATCTGTGAGCAGTGCTGCTTTTTATACTGTCTTACAATATGACACAAAACAATTTACAACCAAGTATTATTCTGCCCTGTAATCATATATATGCTCATTTTTAAGTGTTTTATTGTGTTATATTTTAATAATAACCATTGATATTGAATTTAATTGATTAAATATATTATTATTATATTTAGAATTTTTCCATTTCTGCACAGTTTACCCAAAGAGAATCCGTCTTTTTACCTAACTCCCAGTAATCTGTACTTGCTTTTAGCTGTTGATATAGGATGGATAAACTTATTTTTGATGCCATCTTCCTGTTTTCCTAATGCACTTGTTGAAAGTTGCACTGTACAAAAATGTCATGTATTTTTATTTAAAACATAAATTTGTAATGACTATAATATCTTTTTTTGTCCGTCTCCCCTGCGACAGGGTGGCAGCGTGTCTTTCCCGGCTCCCCCCCCTCCCGGCGGGCCCGTCCCACCCCCTCCACCACCTATGACTGGTGGCTTCCCTCCGCCACCTCCTCCTCTACCGTTCAGTTGCCCGCCTCCTCCACCGCCTCCGCCGCCACCTGGTGCCCCACCTCCACCACCGGGAGCCCCTCCTATGTTTGGGATCCCGCCTCCTCCTATTCCTTCCTCCTTCAACTCAGCGTCCACACTGCACTCCAAGTCCATCCCTCAGCCTTCTCACCCGCTGAAGTCCTTCAACTGGTCCAAACTAGGAGAGGTGAGATGGAACATCTATATTACAATTATTTCTGTATGAAAGACTTGACTGTACAAAACATAAAATAATTAAATTTAAAAAAACTACTTTATGAGGACTTTACAGATGTTATGGTGGCATGGTTATATATAGAAATGTTATTGATTACCCAACAAAATCATCTGTTCATCCCTGATGTGTATAAATATGGGAACTGAGACGTTTCTTCGTCAGTGTTAATCAGTGTTTGAATGTAATTCTCTTTTGTCCCTTTAACCTGTTTCCAGAACATGATCAATGGCACCATCTGGAATGACATTGATGACGTGAGAGCTTTCAAGATTCTCGACCTCAAGGACATAGAGAAGATGTTTTCAGCCTATCAGAGACAGCAGGTTCGGATTTGTTAGAAACACTAGAAACAGAAATCCATTATAATGGCTGTTTGAATAACTGTTAGAGCTGCATTTTAAGTTTCAAGTTTGAATATGTTTTTTATTTGAATTATTTTAATGTGTGTGTATGTGTAAGTGACTGGGTTTACATGCTCACAAGTATCCTGTTTATTATCCTGGTTTTTGAAGTATCCCGTTCTTTTGTTTTATCATGATATGAGAAACCAGATTTTAAGTATCTGTAAGTAAATGGGGTTCTTGTGCATGTATACATCTTATCCTGATTTCTGAATACTGCCAACTATCTGCACAGGCCTGACTACAGCTAAACTGTCCAGTTTGTCCAACACTGTTGCCACACAGTAACGGAACTGGTGCTCATACTGTTGCTTTCCTTCAGGCTCATGAACGGGTCAACTGTGACACACATCTGGTTAAAGGATGCACTACTCACACGGACATTTTATCACCATTTGCTGTTACTTAACACTAAAATGAACCCAATTAACCTAACCCCAACCTGCATGTCTGCAGGTGGTGTGAGGAAGCTAGGGTATCTAGAGATAACCCAGGCAGACATGGGGAGAACATGCAAATTCCACACTGAAAGGCTTCATCCAATCTGGAATTTGAATGAAAACCTTTTCGTTTATGGCTCACCACTGCACCACCGTGCTGCCTTGTGTTTACGTTGATGGTAATATTAAACATCATAGGCACCTGCTCAAATAACAGACAGTAATATGTAACTGGGATACTTGTATTTATCATGTACACAGGGATATGAATAACCATAACACCATATTCTGAATATGATCAAAACCAGGATAAGCCTCATATCCAGGATAGTAGTGCTCATGTAAATGCAGTGAGTGAGTGAGTGAGTGAGTGAGTGTGTATGTGTGGGCAGATGGGATGTGGAATGCCAGGGGGTCCAGCTCTGGGCTAACACGGGCAGCTGTTCACTGCTGAGTGCTTTACTGTAGAGATGCCACAGAGCTCAAGCTTTGCCCTTGTATCTGCACAGCTTTGTGTGTGAACTGGTGGACTGAGCGGGTCTTCATGGGGCTCATGAGTCAAAGCAACAACACTGCTGAAAGTCACAAGTAGCGTTGATACAGGAAACCTTGTCCTGAAGCGTGTGCATTAATAGGATAATTGCGGTATGAATGCCTTTGGGGCAACACCATACAGCACATAGCAATTACTTCTCTCTGTGCTACAAATTAATTACACACCACTTGTCATATGATTATATATTGGGTGCGATTGCATAAGTGGAATCTTGATGCACCCTAATTTATTCCTAGTAATCGCCGTTTGATGAGTAATATACAATCCCTGTAAAAGCATTGTACCTGTTCCTGTGTAAAGCATTAACTGCCTTGCTTAAAAGTCCCCTGACAGCTGAAAGAACAACTATTCTTTGCAGGCTTTTATTTAAGAGTAATGGGTCATTTGAGGCAGTTGCCGACAGTGATATACTGCAGCTATTTATTTATATGGGGCAGGTTTTTATTGGCACTGGCCAAGCGGTTAAATGCAGATCTTTGTGGATGTCGCCACATAAAAACCCAAGATCTTCCTGGCTTTGACATGTCAGTTCCATTTGGCAAGAGCGGCATTCAGTTAAACCGGACAGTATTGTTTATACATGTCATGCCCCCCCCCCCTTTTTTTTAAAGCATGTCATTGGTCTTTCTCTCAAAAAATAGGCTTTTGTTTACATTCGGCCTCTGTAGGATTAGTTACATCGCTCATTTTTCATGCTCTTGTTTTTGCATGTCAAGACAGATGTAGATGTAATCAGAAAAATAAATCATAACAGGGCAGAAAGCTTTTTCACCTCTGCAACACAGAGATATTTGAGTGTAAGTTTCATGAGCTCCTGATGACTTGGACGGCACATGATTATTGTTTTTCTCACAGTGGGCTTCCCAGCCTCAGCTTGTAGTGTGCATAGTTATTCTTCTTTGCTCTATAGCCACCACCTTTTTCTGCTTGAAGTGCTAATCTTTGCATGTGTTTTGGATTTTTTTTCTTGTGTCTCTTCGCTCGCTCCGACTGCCCTGGTAGGACCTGCTCACTAACCAATCCTTCAAACAGGTAAGTTAAAGGTCTTCTGGCAATGTTTCTCATGGTCTATCATCTTCTCCTCTGTAATGTCAGCCAGCAGTTCAGTTCTTTATTTCTTTATCCATCAGCAGTTCCGCCTCAGCTCTGCAGAGCATCTCAGCATCTTTCAGCTCAATGTTTCCTGGTTTTAAATCTAAAAACTCTTCAGTCTCACTGCTTCCAGCAGCAGGCGGCTGTTTTCTGCAAAAAAGCTCAGATGAACCTTCATTTCACAACCAGCCCAACACCAGACAAACCTAATGACAAGCTGGTGATGAGTTAAAGTACAAATGTGAACATTGGTTTAGACTCCAAATGAAAACTAAAGTTGCTCTGTTCTATCATTTACATAAGCAACTGAAAGATAGAAGATATCATTCATCTAAGTGTGCCTGACTTTTTTCATCAAGATCTCTGCCTTATCTTCCTGCAATGGTCAAGAAATTAAATAAAAAATCCTGAATATGCCTCAATCAAATCAGCTCCAAAATTGAATGGGTTCAATCTTAGCCAATACTCAACCCTTCCAGTTTCAGTAAAGTCAGTTGTGTATTTTTGTGTAATTCTGTTAACAGATGGTAATGAAAACATAATGGTCATTTTCACCACTTAATAAACTAACAGTGTAAAGTATAAAGCAAATGAACAAAGCCTTAGAGCTTAGACACTTTGCCTTTGTTTAGGTTCACACAATCCAAATGTAAATGGAGCATTAATCATCATAATTTCCTCATCGTTCATTTTCATCTTCATTTCCAACTTAGATATGGTGATGATTACCGTCATTACATCATCATCTTTCATTGCTTTTAATTGTCATAATTAATCATGATGAACGAAGCAGGACGATGCTGAATTTAAATGTATCTTACATTCATGTCGTCTCCTGAGAGAAAAAAGCAGTTGACCACAGTGTAACTGAGGATGAAAGTGCTTGTCTTTGGTTATATTGAACTAAGTTCACATGCGACACACAAGTTGGCAAAGTTGCCTTTAGCGTGTGGGCAAGTAGGGCCTTGGCTGTTACAGTGAATGGGAGTTGCACCCCCTTACCCAGTGCCAACCCCAGTCTGCCGCCAGGTACCGTTGGCCAACACTGGCAAGGAAAAAGGACACTTTCTTTACAAGCCGCATCTGTTTTACATACGTCATACCCAGCAACCTCAAAATGGACATTTTCTGGCAGGCAGCAGTCTGGCTCGCACCATTAATAGAATGTGTTTAACGTGCAGCTCCAGCCATTTTTTTTTTCTCAGACGTGTATTCTTTCCCCTTGTGGATTTATAATTTACTACATTTGTGTGCAGCTTGCCTGTCTGTATGTCTGCATTGTGTTTGCTGGGGTGACTGACCAAAAGACTGAAGACCTGCTTTAGATCTTCTTGCATCGTTTTTTTTTTCTAATTTCCACAAATTTATAAAATGTGTTTTCCTATAAACCTAGTCCAGGGTTTATAACTTTTAATGAGACGTGCATTGCAGCCTCTGAGAATTGATGCATAACACTTGACAGTCGCATTCAGTGCAAAAACAGGTCAGGGAACTTGCCCTGAGGCCAAGTGAGGTATTTGGCTGCATCGAAGGCTTTTTGTCTGCACTTTATATCAACTGTGAGGCAGCGATCAAACTATAAGTACTGGCCATGGTTCTGTTTGAGTTTTTTTATGTAATATGCTCCAAATTAACACAATGTTAAATGCTTAGAAGGCGGTCATGTCATCGAGGTAAAGATGACAAACAGATGTGAGGAGGATAGGTCTTGCTGTGCTGGCTTTGCATTTTATATGAGCACATAAATGCAGCTGTGTCACAAAGTTAATGTGTCTCTGTCTTTTTTATTTCTCTGCAGAAGGAGACGGGCTCTATGGACGACATATACGTCAGCACACGGAAGGTCAAGGAGCTGTCAGTCATCGACGGGAGACGTGCACAGAATTGTGTCATCCTGCTTTCGAAGTAAGGCTCCCAGTCAGGAAGATTGATGATGCTGTATTGTACGCACAGTGCAGCGCAACAGCTGTGGGGATGTGATCCTGTCCATCTACTTACTTATTCCACATGTTAAAACACATCGCGCAATCTTGACATGTGGGAAGTGCAGTGCTGAATTTGATGCAATTACGAAGCGTAAATAAACAGGCAACCAGTTCTCTGTAGCAGTTATTGGGGGGCGGTGCAGTGTGCCTTCAGTCTGTGGACCGACTTGAACATGTCTTCTTCTATATCCTCGGATAGACTACAGCAGTGATCAGCAACTGTTGTTGAACCACAACCTCAACATAGCCGCCACATTGTTTTTATTTCATCGGACTGACACAGACATTCACAAGGGTTGATGGTCATGATCTCCATCATGGGAAAACATTCATGGAACCCCTGTCTCTGTAGAATATTCAAAGTAAAACCATAATGTTACTGAAACATTAATGCAATGTTTTCGATTTAGCTGAATTACAGAGCTTTTATTTTGAAAAGCTGTGAACTCGGGTCTGAAGATTGTGTCAATTGCTATGAAAGAATAACAGAAGTGCAGTAAATAATTCAAACTTATGTATGAGCCACACTGGTGATAAAGCAAATTAATTGACTCTAAAACTTCACTTCAACTAAACCAGGTAGGATGAACACAAAGGTCTGCACCAGTTTATAAAAAGCTCTGCAAACAACATCCTGCACACAAACAATCAACGGTGACAGTATATTGTAGAACTGTTTGAGGAGGAATCATTAATTACAAGGAATAATTAGCTCCACAGCATTGACACAGCCCATTCCAAACAGGCAGGTTCCGATTGAACACTGCACTACTTAGAGTATAACTCTGGTGAAACTGCCCCAGCACAGGCTGTTATGAAATATGTGGCACTGCAGTGTTATGATCAGGAGGCTGAGTGGTAGCTGGATGTGGAGCAGCTTGAGGCAGGTGTTCAGCGCGTCTGGTACAGGAAGTGTGTTTTTAATAGACACACTAGGACATCTGTCTTTGTAAGTGAATTACCATCCTGTCTCTGTTTTATAACAGACAGAAAACATGGCCCAGGAGAGAATGCATCTCAGGAAGTTCAGTGCTCGGATTTCAACAAGGCTTTTGTCTGTTTTAGAAGTTTCACATGAAGCCATATGAAATCAATTAAGATGCATAAAATTGACCCCTTTCCAGAGGGACGCAGAGTTCCACTATATCTGAAGTGGAATCAATTGTTCCATTTACTCGAGAACAAACCATCTCCCACTAGCTGATGGTCCAAAGAGGCTCCCCCTCATTATAAATCAATAAAGAGGCGTCCTGAGACCTCTCTGATACGTGGTCCCTCAACTCACTTTCCAATCAATAGAAAATGACCCCGGGGTACACACCAGACCCTAATGGGGTCAGTGGTGGGTCAATAAGACTCATGCACAGACTAACAATGTTGTTATTGATCACAACCCAGCACACTTAACACTGATCAGATGCATTGATACCAGCTGGCAGTGCTCCTGGGGCTGACAATGGGCCAGAGCAGCTAATCAGAGCATTAGACTCCTACTCAATGGTGATTTAGAATCTGTTGTGTGGTGTTTATTCACATTAAAACAACGATTGTAATTAAGTCAACTTTAAATAAACATGTTTTTCCCTTTTGCAGGTTAAAAATGAGCAATGAAGAGATTAAGAGGGCAATCCTGGAGATGGATGAGAGAGAGGAGCTGGCCAAAGATATGCTGGAGCAGGTACTGTTCTGTGTTTGATGGATGATAGTGGACATTTGTGAGGTAGCAGTGTAGCAGCAGGCAGGAACAGGTCGATTATTACTGGCTGACGGTGTGTATGGATTTGATTTGATAAAGGACAAGAAACTAAATTTTGTATTTATAAAAATGCTGCATGAGGGCTCAAGCCTCTGTATATGGGGCATCTGCTCTACCAGATGAGCTAGTGGGCATCCCATATGCGGAGACTTGAGCACTCCTGCAGCTGCTGCAGGTTCGGATCCGACCTACATGTCCTCCCCACTCTCTCTCCCCATTTCACACTTATGCTGTCCTATCAATAAAGTCTAAAATACCCCAGAATATCTTTAATGGGTTTTGATGCAATTTACAGCAGGTCCAGTTTAGGTGCCATAATTCCTGACAAGGAAACAGAAAACATTTTCAGGGTTTGGAATCTTTTGAATTTATTTTTGTTTGTCCTGGAAAAAAACAGTTTTAACATTTGTATTAACAGTATCTTTGTCTATTTGCAGCTGCTGAAGTTTATCCCTGAGAAAAGCGACATAGACTTGCTGGAGGAGCACAAACATGAGTTGGAGCGCATGGCCCGGGCTGATCGCTTCCTCTTTGAAATGAGCAGGTATGCAGGACTACATTACTGTGTGATGATCCAGAGTTTCCCACAGGATTGATTCAGTCTTCGGCAGTAGCATGGATGCACATGCACACACATGAAGTTGCTCTCACAGAGCCAGAGTGTCAGGTATATAGACTAGAGAGTGAATGAGAGAACTGCATTGATGCCACCTGCGGGTTCATACACAGCTGTGGCTAAAACTATGAGGTCTGTCTGTCTGTGTGGACGGTAAAAACCTGAGCGTTAGGCAACTAGCTTGCGGAAAGCTCTATAAGGAATCAATGGCGCAAAACACTTATGAAACATTATGAAACTGTGGCAGGAAAATCAGAATAAAGTCGGCCACAACAGTCTAAATAATTAATTGGAAACACTGATGGTCTATGAAGCTGCTCAGAAACTACACAAACTCTTATGGTGTTGGATTTGTAAGAAAGGGGGACATGGTGATGAATAAAAATGATCGGTTACATAAAGTCAGTGTCTGCATCAGTGTCCAGCAATCTTGTGGCGTGTAGTTAAAATGAACGAGTCCAACACTGAGAATTTTGATGGCCCTGCCAAATCAGGACATCAACCAGTCAAGCACAAATAGATCCTGAAATGTTGAAGAGTGTGACGTCTGTTCGATAAGATTGAGCTTTTGAAGCAGCGAGGGGAGTTTGGACTCAAGAACAGGCCTTGAACTTCAGGGTGATTCATCATTAAGCTGAGAAAAGAAGTTGTGGCTGCAGTCACATCAGAGAGCAGAGACATTTTAAATCAAACCATCTTTGAGAATCTGCTGTTTCTGCAAGATAATTGAACCTTTTCATTTCCTCCTCTTAAATATGACCCTGTCCCCTTCCTTTCCTTTTGACCACATATCCTTTGGTCTGAGGTAATGCATTTGAGAATTAGTTGTTTCCTTCTTTTTTTAACTCCATTTAATATCCCTGGTCCCTCTTTGAACTACCCACTTCCTCTTTGGTGAACTTCTGAACAAGTTTAACAAACCCATTTGTTAACTGCCCAGCTTGATGGCAGCCTATTGGATGACAACAGGCCTGTGAAAACAGAAAGAGGGAGTTTTGTACGACTGATTGACTTGGAGCTTTGAACCGACACTCCCCTGGGGACACATGTAACTCACCTCCCTTCATGTTTCCCCCCACTTTCTCCTTCCTCTTGCTTCCTTTCTTCTCTTCATCAGAATTGACCACTACCAGCAGAGACTGCAGGCTCTGTTCTTTAAGAAGAAGTTTGCAGAACGTCTGGGTGAAACAAAGCCTAAAGTTGAAGGTAAGGACAAACACTGAAAGACAGAGGAAGCAGAGGTGAACTCTCTGTGATTTCAATGTCAACAAATCCAGGAAAAGACCAAAACCAACAACTATCATAATAACAAGTATTTTATGCCAAAGCCTGATATAGCTTACATCCCTGTGACATAGAGCTTTATTTTTGTCCAAGAAAAACTGCTAAATACATATCATGAACACACCCACTATCTTTTATTTTGACTCCACATCTAGTGTCTTGCCGCAGGAAAGACTCACTTATGAACAAAAGGTGTTGATACATATATATTTCCCCTTTTCACAAGATGAAGCTGTACCTTTGTGACCAATGGCTAAAAAGGATCTTGAGTATCAGCCAATGGGAAAATGATTGAGTGGATAATGGTGGAGCAAACAGCATGTTTTGAAAAAAAGGAAGCGTTGGTTTGGGTGTATTTGTGGAATTTGTCGTGATTAAGAAGTGCTTTTCTTTCCAGAAAATGTCCAGAAAATCAGATTTGTGTTTCACATATGAAGAACGCAGCAGGAGATTGTCCAAGTCGTGATGTGTTCACAACAACAGCAAAATGTCCGGAACATTCAGGCGAGGGATGGCAGTGGAAATCACATGTTTTTGTTTAAGGCACATCGAAAGCTTTTAAATCTTGTTGGCTTCATGAGCTGTCATCTTCGTCGTTGTCTTCTATGTATGGCTCCTCGTTTCCATCCTGAGATATTTGTATACTTGTGTCAGAAACACCATCAACACGTTCACCCACCCACTGAATTTCCCAGACATTTTTCTGCTTTATTCTGATATGGTCTCACATTTTAGGAAAAGTTCTGGAACACGTCCGGACCAGCTGACTTGTGCATTTGTTGTTCAGCCTCTGGAAATTTTCAGGAAAATGTCCTTACTTCGGCACATGTCTCAAAGTAGTTATACACGCAGTTGGAGAAAGAAGATAAGAACATGTTAGGAGGTCAGACCAGATCAATTCTGCACAGAGTTACACTCCAAGAAACAAGAATAACAAACAAACAAAAAGAAGAAGGCTCAAACACTAAAAATGTCATCACCTTCGAACACTCTGACCAATGCTTTTCCCAGTGCCTCGTGAAATCCCTTCTGTGTGTGAAGCGTGCACGTGTATATGTGTGTGTGCACAGTGAGAGCTGGTGGCCAACTGTATATTGGCCTTCTGCAGTTTTTCCCCCGCCAGCGCAGCTTCCAGGTTACCAGGGAGGCTGTTTTGGAAAGCTGGCCCATGTTGAGAGGGGGAGAGCCTCTCTCGTAAACACTGCTGCTCACTTCAAAGTCTGAGGGGAAAATGCTTCCAGTGAGACATGTGTGCATTACACTTGTGTTCCCCCGAGCTGTCGAAGTGTCTGTCTGAGCCACAGCTACTTGAAAGTCACGTCTCTTGTGGGTTAATGTCTTTCTGGGCACTGATGAGCACAACTTTTTTTGTTTTGTGCCAGCGTAATCCATTGAGTTTGAGTATTGATTCCAGAAAACGTGTTGTTGGATCCAAAATGTTCCCAGACTCTTCATCAGTGCCCATAATACAGTAGAGTTCTCATCTTCATCTATTATTCATCTTACTTTGAAATATACTTTGGATGAGCGTACGTTTCTCTGGACCACCCAATATGTTCAAAAGACGTATTTCAGTAGATGGTCTGGCCAAGCCTGTCCGCATCCAACAGAATACGACCAGCAGAGCCAGGAGACTAGTTCCCATGTTTTATTACAGCAGAAAGGACTGTAACAATAACAATATGGATTCTGTTAATGATTTTCACATTCACGCCGCGATTTCCTCCACGGAGAGCGGGAAGCACCTGCTCTCTGCCAGACCAGTGCGTTCTCAGGGGGTGAAGGAGTGGACAGCGGGGGATTGCGTTTGGAATATTGCCCTCCCCCTGCTGTTTTATGGGTAGATGGAAGAACTTGATGGGTTTCCCCACTGAGCTGCCCAGTCGTTGTGGGGAATATTGATCAATCATCACAGGGGTGTTTTAAAAATGAAGGATGGGATGAGAACTTTAAGGCCACAGACCACTGAGCCTTAAGTTTCATGTGAGTCCATGATGGGTTGAAACCATGACAAGGAGTGGAGAAAGGCCAGCTTGTTATGCAAGATGAAAGTTTAAGTGACAGGCTTCTCAAAGTGCATACATATCCCACACCAACTATATGATCTTTCCAGCTGTTTCACACTCTCCAAATATTTTTCTCCAGCCATCCTGAACGCATCCAAAGAGGTGGTTCAGAGCAAGCGCCTGACTCAGATCCTGGAGGTGGTGCTGGCCTTCGGCAACTTCATGAACAAGGGCCAGAGAGGCAATGCCTTCGGCTTCAAGATCTCCAGCCTCAACAAGATCGCAGACACAAAGTCCAGCATAGACAGGTAGGTCACAGGGGGACTCAATATATTCTGTACTATAAAAATAAGCAGATACTATTTACAGTGCTATATTCTCAGTTTATTTAATCTCTGTTGTAGACAGCAGCTGCCAGTACATTTGAAAACATAAAAAACTAGAACTAGTCACTCAGTACAGAGCATATCTTCTCCTCTCCTTAAAGTTTTTGATATGATATATTCTCTGAGAAATCTTGCAATGTTAAATAAAGGTGGATCTACTCCCTGATCCAAATCCACATCATCATCTAATGTTTTTTCCCTGACCCATACCAAATCCTTTCCACAAAGTTTCCTGTCAATCCATTCAGTAGTTTTTGCTTAATCCCTCTAATTCACAGATAATCTAAAACCTAAAAACTCCCCTTTTTGTCTCATGACTCATGATTCTCAAAATCTTACATCAAAATCAGGAAATATATATATTTTTCTGTATTAAAGTATCCTAAATCCAATTAAATGCAGTCTATACATTCATGGGTTCAGTACTCCGAGCAGCTGATGTTGCAGAATTACTTTCTGCTCAAATTTGCCAGCATGTGAATAATGAAACGGGCTGCAACTCGATCAGTGTTATTTAAACTGTTACTGGAGTTACTGCAATTCACTGCTGTGACATGTAGTGTCTTTGTCATAAGCCCATAAATAAAGAGACACACAACAACTACAAATCAAAACCAGCAGATTTTGAGAAAGAGCCCTGTTGAAATTTTTTTTTGCCCCTCTTCATGAATAATGTTCCCTCGCTAACTTTCTAGGTAAAGTTTGCTTGACTCTGCATTGACGTCTTTACTTGTGATTGACCAGGAACATCACCATGTTGCACTACCTGATCATGATCTTTGAGAAGAACTACCCGGACACGCTGCACATCCAGCAGGACCTCAGCAGCTTATCAGAGGCTGCCAAAGTCAAGTGAGTGCAGTGCACAGCATTCCACTGTAGGGATGAGGTCACAATAAACTTTCACTACTCCTGTGTATCTCTCAGCCCTCTGCTGTATTGGCAATAGTTCACACATGATTAGACCTATATAAAGATGTATATATCACAGCACTCAAAGGGAAGTGCATTAGAATATAATAAAGTTCAGTAAATATAGTAAATACCTTTTTCTGTCTTTCTCTTAGTTTGGCGGAGTTGGAAAAAGAAGTGCACAATATTAGAAGTGGACTAAAGGCTCTGGAGGCGGTGAGTTGTTGTGTGTTTGTGTCACGTTCCCTCCCTGTGGCTCTTCTCTCGTCTGTCATTATGTTTTGGAGCTGGGCAGAGACAGACGGCAGGGTGAGGTGTTTTAAACGCTGGTATCGTTCCACGCAGCGTGACATGGAACAGCAAATGTCACATTGGCTTTGCCGCCACACACAGAAACAAATGTGCACGCATTGCACTTCACGGAACACTGAAATGAATAACACCCTTGTCCGCTTGTCCACCTCCAGGAGCTGCACTACCAGCAGAGCCGGACAAGGGAACGTGGGGATAAGTTTGTGGCTGTGATCGGTGACTTCATCACGGTGGCAGGCTTCAGTTTCTCTGAACTGGAGGACCAGCTGAGTGAAGCTAAGGACAAGGTAGGTTCCAGTGTGACCTCTCAAGTTTGAACACGAGGCTGCATTCATACCACTATGTGTTGAGAATGCATTCAATCTGTTATGGATACAACTTGTGTCCACACTACTCTGCTCGAGTTTTAGAGCCACTTTGAAAATTCTAACACACTCTGGAAGGGCAGAAATAAAGATATTTAAAAACAATGATGACACAACTACTTACTGATTGGGTCTTTTCGTTCATGATGTGTAGTCTTCCCTGATTTGTCAGGCTCCTATCACATGACATCCCTTTAGCCTGGGCTTCCAGTGTAGAACGCAACATGCATAATCAATTACAAGCGTAGCTGACCCTGTTGTCTTTGCTAACAGCTGTTCTGCAGCTAAATTCTGTATCTTACAACGATACAACTGTTTCGTGAAGGAGACAAGCTGCACGTGCATGTCCAGTGTATGTGAAATAATGTGATATGCGTTTTCAGGCGTGTTTGCACTGACAGGGATTAAAACTCATTTGGAGCCAAAATGCTGTCATCATATGAAACGTATGGATGTAGCCTGAGAGAAAATCATATGTCCATGTGGGTGGCTCTAATGCATAGTCCCTGCCAAACCTTCATGTCGGACTGACACAGAGAAGTGACAAAGTACTGAAGGGGAACCCTGTGAAACCTCTGGACGTTCTTCTTCGCATGTTGTGATGAGTTCAGCAGCGCTGGTGAAACACAGCACTGACAGATGACCCTGGATCCCCCCCCCCCCATATACTTTTTGTGTTTTAGAAGTTACGGTTTTAAATCTGCGCTCTACTTTTTTGCACAACTGGGACAAAACCTTTGAACCCTGCTGGCTCGTGTAATGATGTATTATAGGAAGCATGTCAGCTGAAGACATCATTGGGACTGTGGGAATCCCAAAGTAAGACAGCGATGAAAAGATTTATGCAAACATGTTATTGAATATCCAAGTCTTCAGTGCTCTGTTGCACATTTAGTATTGTGGTGCTGAAGCAGTAGAAGCTATTGAATCCTGCAGACTGTGTTCAATAGTTGCACTATTATATTTCAATACTTTATAGTGAGGCATGTCGTGTTTCCAAAATAATTGACATAACGATGCTGCACACCCAAACTGCTTCTAAAGGATAAACAGATTGTGAGAAAGAGAGAAGGGAGGACAGGCCCACTGGTTTACTGTGCAGCGCCTCCCCTCTTCTTAATTATTTGTTCAAGGAGGAGGTCGGTGAAAAATCGGAGGGAAAACAGGTCAGTCGGGACGTCACAGGAAAAAGAGCTGGAGGAGCAGGGCACCGGTTACTGCTGTAAAACAAAAGAACCTGTGTTCGTCGGCCCAGACGCCGAACAAACACTTTTCTTTAGCACAACTATGTGTGTGTGTGTGTGTGTGTGTGTGTGTGTGTGTGTGTGTGTGCGTGTGCGCGTGTGTGCRAGTGTGTGGTTGGTAAATGGGCAGCGTGACGCATTAACTCAGTGCTTGTCGAGGCTCTTTGACGCTCTGTTAGGTTTCCAGTGGAATACAAATATGGAAGTGTGGGTGTGCAGGAGGAGGATGACTAAACAGAGCAGGCAGTCCGCTGAGGCTCATGAAGCTCCATGGCAACAAATCTGTGTGTTCGTGTGTGTGCGTGTAAGAGAGACACACACCCTTGCCAGACACTACTACATACATTACAAAGGATTACAGTTGTCCGCGGTCATGTGGGTTATTGGGACAGCGATTTCCAGAGGCGTGAGGGGATTTTTTTTTCTTTCATCCAGAGAGATTGGTTGGATTTATTCTTCACAACACATTCGCACACAATCCTCACATCAACATGTTCACAGACAACACAGGATTTAATCTTTTCTCTATCCATGAGCAACACAGCTGAGTTCCACACAGAACAGGGAGCGCTTCACCGTCCCACATGTGCTGATCAAGGAGAAAGATGAAGATGAGAGGGAGAGTTATGAGCAGCAGTGGTAAATGCTGCATAAGAAAAAATCCAGATCTAGTCAATAATTTAAATATAGAACATCTTCAAATAGTGTATCATCAATCTCCTGTGCACTTTCATCAGTCAGACAAGTGTCGCTGCGTGTTTTGCTGCGTTCACGTCACATCACTGTGGTATTGTTTGTGTTTTCCCTCCTTACAGACCCATTATTTTACTTTAATTACGATGACAATATTTGTTTGAGTAAGTTAACCGCTTATTTACGAGGCCTTATATATATATATATATATATAGTTATAGTTTAAACAGGCATGTAGCAGAGTTACTTTTATTTGATCTGTGAGTTACAGATACTATTCCGCCCCTGATACCAGAGTTAATCCACTTCAGCTTTTATTATCGTCAAAGTAATGTAATCATTGCAGGATTATGCAGTTGTAAATGCAGCCTGATTTGAGTGCATTTGAATCTATCAAAAAACAGGGATGTACTTTTCTTATAAACATATTTTTGTGGGCTGTTTGCCTTTACTGACAGGGTAGTGAAATTGGTAAAGAGCAAAGGGTGGTCGCTGCAGGAGGGCTCCAGTCTCCGGATGAGGGACGAGTGGGTGCCCCAGCAGTGATGTCATTTGACAAGAACGCATTGTCTGATTCCAGGAAATAAAAACTGAAGTGCTAGAAAGTTAAATCATGAGTCTGACTGGTACTTTTTTCAGAGAGCAGATGAGGTAATAAATATCAGAATGGGGACATTGACATTGGTCACTGTTGGAGCCAATATGGGTTTGTTTTAGTTTTGTTAAGACTGTTTATTTTGTGGGTTATATTATTTCTATATTGCTATGCCACGCCACAAGGGGCCAGTAAAATGTTGGTGATTGGTCATATAACACAAGGCAGGTGATAAATAGACACACGTGTGTGGGTTCTGTGTGTTTGGAATGCGGGGGTTATTTGGTTCTTACTGCAAATAGAGCTACAATTAAAGGTTATCTTTTCGCATACTGCACAAGTACCACACAATCACAGCATCCTGGCAACAGCAACTGCAAGGTAGCAGCAAGATGAGTGACAAGGACAAAACTAACAGTGTGCATGTCAAGAACTCCTTGTAGCGAATCCAAGTGGGGGTGGGTGAAGTGTTTGTGTCCTTCAAACAGAAAAACAACATAAAATGCCTCCATACTGCTCCTGTGGTGTCATCCAAGTGTCTGTAAGCCCCGACATTCAAATGCAGCTCGATATGGCCTCATCCACACAACTTTTTTTATCCTAAATGTCCACTGTGATCCACACACTCAAGAGAAGGATATCAGGGCACATTTAGGCTGAAAACATGGTAAATGACATGACAGCTTTATATTGTACTTCTCTAGATCTACCTACCACAGCAAACTGGGGTTCAGTGTCTTGCCCACTGCTGTGGTTTTGCTTTTGGAAACACTTTATGGAACTAATCATAATTATAGCAAATGGGCAGTGTGCAGAAACTTTAATTCAATCTGCTAAAAAGTTTGTTCACCTCAATTGAATATCTGATTTTTACCTTAACCCAACACATGGAGTCTCAGTTGATTATTACATTCTTTTCTACATCAGCATCTGAGCAAGTCTGCACAGAAATTGTCTTCAAATATGAAATGTTCATGTGTTTATTTGTAGCTCAGCAGCAAAAGAGTGATTTCCCACTTCCATTGAACCTTTCACCTCACAGGTGTGGGGCTAAGAAGAGCTTAATATATTTTGTCTGCTCTTCACTGGATTAGTGTCTATGGATGATGAGGGATCACATTAAATGAAAAAACACAGTGATTGTCTGAGGACAGCTGGTCTCTATACTTTCTACTGGATAAAAAAAGAACGAGCTCCATTTTGTTAAAATAAAGATGCAATTTAGTTTAATAAATGTAAATTTAAATGTTTTATGCAATTTAAAAATTACAATAATAAGATTTCACATTCGGACCGGACACAATTATTCTGCAAAGTAAGTAATATGATTTAAAGGAGACCTAAAGTTCTACAAATTATCGGCTAGTTCGGTGAAACGATGATGATTAAACTGAACATATATGCTGAGTGAGTCCGTGTTTCACGATGAGTTCTGAGAATCTCAAAATCTCAAAGTTTGTAAAAATCTGTAGATTTCTGACAACTTTAAATCTTTAGTGTCAGAAAATGTCTCACCTCAACTGTCAAGATAAAAAAATATGAGAAATAAGAGAAAATATCATTAGCCTCTCAGAAAGCATTGAGGTGTTTGTGTGTCTGTGTGAGGTGAGGTTGATGTGTGTGTGACTTTCCCGTTCCAATTTTTTTATATGTTTGTGTGTCTGTGTGTGTGTTTTTACTCATATAGCACAGACCCGAGGGGACGAGAGGAAACAGATTTGACCAGACACATAATTACAGGAGAGAGATAGAGGGATGATGATGGTGGAGGTTGCCGGGGTGACCAGCCCATAATAACAGGATGGTTTTGATTCCTCAGAAAAGAGCGAACCCCAAGTCCTTCATATCACAACACTAGGACCACATACAGTTTACTCTCCTCATATAAACTGGAGTGATATGATGTTTTCTGTCACTTGACGCCCACATACGATGAGAACAGAGCAGACGCTGCAGCCTGCTCACTGGAAGACTTGTTTTCATGTCAACAATAATTCTTGGATTGCAGGGCACATTAATGTACACGTGAAGGGTCATCACATTTTCATTTTTATTCACTGCTTGTTTCACTTGTGATATTTTCAGCTCTACTGAAAGTTTTATTTTACAGTGGTTAATAGAGAATCACAATTACAGGGCAGATTTAGGATTTTTCTAAATGAGAGGCCATAGAGGGGGACACAATTTACACAGAGGGGCTAATTATATGTCCAACCTCCATGGACACTTCCTGATTTAGTAAGGCACATATTTAAGTCATTGCTTGTTTACTGCTAGCTCTATAACATTGAGCAAAGACACACATCAGATTCTTGAGACAGGACAGGGGCACTTCAGGGGCCCAATCAACTTTCAATTAGGGGCCAGTGCCCTCCCTGGCCTGGCCCCTGGATCCACCCCTGCTATCACCAGTTAGTCAGTGAACCCACTGTTTGATACCTGCACAGCACTGAACAGTTGACAATTGTTATTAAGTATCTGTTGAACTTAGTCTTTGGTGGAGAACAAGACAGAGCAAAAGTAAAAATGGATTTACATCCATCACATGAAAGCTCATGTTCTTGTGGGTCTGCTGGATTGTTCACTAACACCATGTCACCATATCAACTAAAATGCCAATATATATGCAACATATGCATTCGAATATACAAGCTGCAATAAGGAGAAAAGTAATGACGGTGCTGCTTCTAATAGAAATAATAAGTAAAGCTCTATAATCAGCATTAATAATCATGCACTTTGAAAAGGGCAGAATTGTTCTGTCACCTGAGTTGCTAATCTGTCCTCATGTCCTGCTGGAGTCTTTTAATGAGACAGTGAAACTAACTTGGACCTTTGATTTAAATAGCAATGTTATAGTATTGTGTTATATGTGAGGATATTGACTGGGTCCATGTGTGTTGTGCTGTATACTGCAGTACAAAGCTTGGTGTGTTGGAATGTAGAGGAGGTTTGGCTGCAGGCGTCGTCCTGGCACATAACACTGAACAGCTTGAAGAGGAGAGGGTGGACATACGGTGGTCAAATCATGCAGTCAGTTTTTTACCTTGTGTGTGTGCGTGCGTGTGTCTCTACTGTCTCTCTGTATTGTGGGGGGGAACGTCAAGTATGCATGCCAGCATATGAATTTGTGCAAAGATACACTTATGCAGTGCACACCTCAAAAAAAATCTAAAAAACACAGAGTCAAATACAATAAAAGTTGTTGTGCATGTTTTAGCCATGTGAATGTTTCTCTATCGATAGGTGTGTACAGGTCACCTCGTATCAAAATATAATAATAAAATGCATGTTGTTGTTTGTTCTGCTTAGTTCACCAAATCTCTGAAGCACTTTGGGGAGGATGAGGGGAGGATGCAGCCTGATGAGTTCTTCGGGATCTTCGACACTTTCCTACAGTCATTTGGTGAAGCACGGCAAGACCTGGAGAACATGCAGCGACGCAAGGACGAGGAGGAGCGGCGGGCACGGATGGAGGCCATGGTGAGATACGCATACAAATGCTAGACCTTGTTGTACGTTGCATTGTACGTCACGTTGTAGTTGCGTTGTTGTACGGTGTATTGTTGTATCTCGGCTTGTTGTATGTTGCGTTGATGTGCGTCACATTGTTTTGCATCATCATTTTTGCGTGCTGTTATTGTACGTCAGGTTGTTGTTAAGTTTTTATGATAGCCTTTGGTGCTGAAACCCAAAACGGAAACGTGTGACACGTGTTTATCTTTTCCAGCTCAAAGAGCAGAGGGAGCGGGAACGACGGGCAAAGAAGTCCGGAGCCTCAGACGAGGTCGGCGGCGAGTTCGACGACCTGGTCTCGGCCTTGCGTTCTGGCGAGGTCTTCGACAAGGACCTGAACAAGTTCAAGCGCAACCGCAAGCGCTCAGTAAACCAGCTGGTGGAGGGAGGTGGCCGTGAGCGAGCCGTCACCAAGGTCAACTACTAGGCTGGGAAAAAGAAGGGGACAAAAAAAAAAAAACACTAGACACCTAAATTCTGCCGTGGCGTAGATCTGTTAGCACCTTTAGTCCAGGTCCTCTGAACAGTGACGCTGGAGAGGATGTAAATAATGGCTGGACTGGACGTGTATGGACGGCCACGCCATTTTTTGAAGGATCTCCTCTGATTGGTCTTGTAAAGCTATTTCTAACCTGTTAGTCCTGGAAGTTGTGTGATCTCCTGAGCTGGACGACGGACAATGGACTTGGATGGAATGGACGGACAGACCACTGTGACACATTATCCCACGTCTCATGACCATGTCCTTTTAACACTGTGTCCTTCACTCTGTTTCTCACACACTCTTTTTCTTTTCCCTTGGCAAACCTTGCAGTGTTCCTCAGTAACATCTTTGGAGCTGGAGCTGCCCCGTCTTTTTGCTTCCTAGCTCTTAAACATTGGGATCCGCTAGTCACACTGTACATAGATACGAGACAAAGAGAAAAGGACTGTCAGAAAAAAAGACAGACCAAGAAGGTGGAAGAAAGGGGGAATAAACCTCCACAGTCATGGCTGCTTCAAGTGTCCCCCGGAAAAGAGAGTTTTTGCCACAGAACGGATTTTCATGGACTTCATTTTCTACAAAGAAGGACATGGAGGTCTCCAAATGCCAGAATGCTTCATAGGCTTCTGAAAGAGTGGAGAATGGACATGAGGTGGTGAGGTGATGGCTCTAAAACAGAGAATTCAACCCAGCACATTCCCAGGCAGGATGTACTGCACGAATCATCCCCAAGTTGCAACTTCAGAGGAGACGACTCTTCTCCGCCCGATCCACCCGAAAAATAAAAAACATGACTGTGCCACGAGGGTCGAGTCTCACCCAACACTCTTCAGTGATTTCAACGTTTGTTCTGGCATGATGCAGTGCCAAAGCAAAGAGAAAAAGCACGTGTAAATGTATTAATACGAACACATACTGCAATTAGACCTTGATATATATATTTATATTTAGATGCAGACAAGCTAATTGCAAAGATGTAGAGGTTTTTTATGTTTTTCATGGCATTTTCTGGGGTTTTGTACACACGATGCATTATTTGTTGGTGTTGCAAGTTCACATTGCTGTTGAAGTGAATTTCTATACATTTTGCGCTTTATGTAAAAAAACAGAAAGATAATCGCTCGTCCTTTTCACACTCGTACGTTTTGTTTGCACTGTAGCTTTTCCACGTGCCGACCCACCGTGTCCCCTCTGTACTCACATTTACTTTATCGACAACAAAGTTCATGAAGGAACTCACAGGATCAATCTGCAGTTAGATCACAATGCTCTCTGCTTGTGCCTCTGTCTGGTTCACATTGACTGTGTGTACACAGCAGCTCTCGTGTACAGTGTGTGTGGGATCTGTTTCACTGGTGCTAAAACGTGTGGTCCTGCACAGAGCCATGAGTCCAGTTCAGGATTGTCACCCTCACTTTTAAGGAGAGCATGATCGCTCAGTCACCATCACACAGTATCTGTGTTTGTATTTGAGTTGACGTTGTGATATCAGACCGCCCCGCGTATTCAGTCTGTTACTGCAAAGTCAGGGAACAACAGAAGCACTTACAGCCTGTAGACATTCTTCATTGTGGCTCGTGGCAGTGTTCAGGGTTCTTCAGCCTCAGAGAAATTCACACGCAACATCTGTCCTTCCAGCTTCTTTCACGTTTGTGTACATCTGGTTAGACGCTCTTTCTAGCATGGGTTCATTTCTACAACAACTGAGGAAAAGCCTCACATGCTACTTCCAGCTTAATGTTTATATACAGCAGTAAGACTTTAGCAGTAGGCATGAAGGAGGCTGGAATGTATGTGGTTACCTCAGAAAAATATTTAAATGGACATAAGAGTAACGTGCTGCAGAGAAGGGCTGGAAGCGTCTAAACCGTGGGGCGAGCCCTCTGATGTGGGTCGGACGTCTTCCTGCTCCCGGTGCTTAGGAGGATAAGTAAGCTGATGGGCTCAGACTGCATTAAGGGACATGGAATGAAAGGAAGGATCAGTTTAAAACCAGAAACATACACCACGTATGAACCTACATCTACATGTTAGCAGTTAAAGGGTTTAAGATCAAATGAAATATAGTGATTATCACCCTTTTTAATCTAAGATGGACTATTCTAGTCATTTCCTCCTCATGCTGACATGTATGTTTAATGTAGTTCACTATAGGGCTAAACATGAGATGTTCAAGAGTCTCCTCTGGTGGCCTGTCACACGTGTGATATAATAATTGATAACATGTTTAAATCCTCATGTTTCTTCATGTTTTGGCTTGTCCCTGTTTGTCATATAGATTCATTTAAAATGATTTGAAGAACAACCCTTGGTTCAGTTTATTTGAATGCTAAAAATATATTTTATTGTCATAGGCTTTGAAAAATTCGAGTAAAACCCACTCACCACCATCTTAAAATAGACATTTTTCCCATTGCACTTAATAGCACAATCATATTTTGCATTTTCAGAAGTTACAAGACACAAGAACGAGACATTTCCAAAGAAATGGAGCTGTTTTTTTAATTTGTAGCATTTCTCATTAACTGACATCATCCTTATCACCCACTTTCCTTATGTATTTATATGTATCTCTCATAATGACTATCCCAGTTATTTTCTGTTCTTTGTAACTGTTTCACCTTTAAGTGCCTCTGACGCTGTTTCACATGTTCATTCCCACTCTTGTTTTAGTGCCAGTGGCTTTTAAAAAACATTTATGAACTGGTGCCATCTTGTGGCTTCCATCGAGTGCGACACTACCCGACTCTAGGAAACTAAAACTCCCATGTGTCCGTAATAACCCATCTGGTGTTCTTCAGTATGGCTGCCATTTCATCCAGAACCTGTTCAGAGAAAACCCCTCTCACTGCACTAAAGCTTTAACTGAGTCCTGTCCCAGAGATGCAGCATCAGCAGTTATCTCCCATCTCAAGTTTATTCTACACATTTAGTCAAACTGCAGGAGAGAGACGATGGTGTGAGGCTGTAAAGATGATGTGAGGCACTGTGTAGAGGATCTTTGAGCTGCCATGTCCTCCACAAACTTCAGAGATTAACCAGGAAACCAAAAAGACTAAAACCTCTGACACTTTAAACGGAAATCAGAAAAGCCCCTGTAGAGTATGAACAGGGGGGAAATGTCGTTTGAATGCTTATTCTTTAACCAGCATCTCATGTATATTTGAGCTCTTCTATTTTCTAACCTCTGCTCCTTTGTCTTTTCAAATTAATCAGAGTTGGTATCCCAGGCCCTTTAAACTCCCTAATCCAGAGCTTTAACCCGTATCCTAGTGCAGACTATTTACTGAGGGGTATCGCAACATTGTCAGTATTATTACATGTTTGTGTTGTTACATGTTTGGATGTTTTATTTGGCCATTGACTGGCTGATTTTTTTTTTTTTTTTTTGGAGTGTAAAGATGGAAATCAGAGGAATGAAATTAGTAGCTTGTTCAATGCACTTTTTTATTATGGGACATTTCCATTAGCAGCGCCATGTTGAGGGCTGAGACACCTCGGAAAGAATGAGGGGTGCAACTGAAGAGTGGAGGTAGAGAAAAAAGAAAAAGGGCACGTGAGGTGTAGGGGACCCCGGCTGGGCCGCTGGAAACACATCAGTAGTCTGTCGGATGGCAGAGATGGGATTTGTGGGAAGAGGTGACACTCCTCCGTTAAGTTTAAAATCCTCGCCTGTCTGTCACCCACTTTGTAGAATTAAGACAAAATGGTGGGTTCGGGCGTTGGTCTCTGTCACCACCACATTTCTGTCCAATCCGACACTTGGCATTGACCTGCATGCCTGAGGAAACGTGATGTGGCATGTTGACTTTGATCGAGGATTGCCTACGACATGGAACGCACCCGTTACACAATCTGTTCTGCCTGAGAAAAAAGTTGCACCCACTTTTTAGAGGTTGTATAATTGTGAGGAGTCAGTATTTTTATGGTTGGGAAAAAAGTATCCTACACAGAAAGATGTACAGTTGGAAAAAAACATTTTGTACACCATGCTTGATGTTTGATATACGATTGATTAAAAAAAAAAAAAAAGATATTAAAACGTTGAGGAATGTTCCATTTTCCTGTATATTGTACCTCTATTTATTTGCCTTATTTAGTTTGCTATATTTTGTATGTACACACAGCATTACAACAAAATGTTATATTAAAAATATGAATATGAATAATTAAACTGTGGTCCGTGTATGATGGATAGTTTTGAGACTTGTATAAGAATGAGAATCTTTTTTTTTTTTTTTTCATTTCCATAATTTTATTTTTGTTTTGTATTTTTTTCTCACCCTGTGTCTTTTTGTAGGGTTACAATAAAGTTTTGTCCCTTACAAGTGATCGTTTATTTTTTCATTCACTATCACCACAACTCAATGATATGTGTATATATAACACTTAATAAAAAACAATATATAAAAATATACTAAAGTATAAACTTAGATATTCTGTGCTATGGAAACAAATAGCATTGATATGATGTGTTGAGTTCAGTGTAGTGATGGCCCAGTCTAATCTATAATGGTGCTGGAACTATGGTTGATTAATTGATGAGTTCATCAACAGAAATAATTCAATTATTTTGATAACATTGGTTAAAGTAAATTATATTATTATCAAAAATGTTTATTATATATTTTATATTACACAATAATACATGTACTGGAATTAAAAATATTGTGAGACATTGTGGCACTACAATGTGTTTGATGATTTGATCATACAATATGATCATACTGAACATTCGGTTATATTATAAATATGTTTTAATATATGCTAATGTAAATGACCTTACATATAATGGAGAATAAACTGTAGGTTATTGGATGTAGTATGCAACATCGGACACGTCTTTCTTGAACCTGAGGTTCGAGTAAAATATGGTGTGACTTTTTTTCTGCTGTCAACTTTAAATGGATAATCTAAAACACCATATGTGCCTATTTATGTATTTTTATTTTACCTATATGTCCCCTGAGGTAAAGATGTTGTCATGGAGTTCAACACTGACAAAAACTTACTCCAGATGTAATTTAATCATACCTATAGTCAGGTTAAGAATTTGATATTTCAGAGAATGACAAACTGTTTTACATGTGTACTGTAAGAGATGGTTGAATAAACCTCCACCATGGACAACAGAGGGATGGACAGTATGAGAAGTTACTGAATAATTTATATATATATATATATAAAAGGGGTATAATCCCAGGAAAGTGAGAACAAGCAGCAACATTTAGACAGGTTAGTTTAACATAAATTGACCTTTCAACACTATCATTCAAGCCTGAGTGTTAAAATAAAGAATCACCAGAGAGGACATCAGATCACCGCTGTCTTTCTCCTCCAGCCAGGTGACTTCACCTATGATAGCAACCAGTCAGTGATTCAGGAGGTTTTCTATCTAACTAGTTTTAGATAAATCAACAAGTCTTCAAATATATATTTAAACTAAAACAATGAGTTTTCAACTGAAATAAATATCTAAAGACTTAATGATTTCATTTGTTGATAAACTGAGTGTGCTGCTGTGGTTACTTTCAGGTGAGTGTTGGACATGCTGGACACTCGTGGAGTCACACAATTCTCATCTTAAAGATGCAGTGTTCGAAGTAAAGTCATCATATAGGAAACAGTAGAATAATTGATGTTAGAAGATGCTACATAAATGCTCAACAAGCAGTCAGTGGCTTACAGTTTGTATTTAATTCTTTCAAAACAGAGCGGTCTATTTAAGTGAGCTGGAAGCAATAAAGCTATAATACAAAAATTGCAATATTGAGTTCTGCACTTTCTACAGTAACTGTGACAAAATGAAAGTGACATGCTGCATCAGGCTGTTCACTCATTTTCATATCATTATACTATACATGCTGAGCCAATATTAAATCAACAAACAACATTAATTACACTCTCTCTTAGGCAGTGTAATTGGTTATTTGTCATATTAGTCATTAACATTTTACTACAGAGGTAGAATGAAACAAAGAAATAGAATGACATTTGATTAAATGCTCAAGTTGAGACAATTTCTTTACGGATTAGTGTCACGGACAAAAACTGAGAAGATTCATGTCACGTATACAAATTAATTAAGTCACAAAAACATTCTGTTAATTCCAGCAGCTACTGAGAGGAAGACATGTTTGACACAAACCTGAGAAAAACAGCCAGGACACAGAAACATCTCTCATCACTCTGTTGTTACTTCATTCTTTGTCGACCTCCATAATTAAATCATCTTCAACATTCATGTCGTTTTTCTTCACTGAAAACCTCCCAGAGGCTTTTTAAAGCGATACTACAATGCCCTCTAGAGTCAAACAGAAACATTGCAGCCCTACATCTATTCTAAACCCTCCACCTGTTGCACAGTTAATGTATTAAAATAAATATTATCTCATGTATGACACTGGAATTATTAGCTTAACACTGTTAGATACATGATAAAAGTAATACTGTTTGAATAACATGAGTCATTTAGTGTGAGAAGAGCATGGACTGTGTATAAAGGCGGACGACATCACAGCTCCCCAAAAGTGAAGCCAAAGCATCGTCATCGCCCTCTAGTGGCTGTCTGCAGTATGATAAACCATGCCTCCTCCATGTTAGTGGATGGGGTGTGAACCAAACTGAAGTCAAAGTTAAGTTCTAATTACACTGATGTTTGTTCAAGTGCATTTTCTTTTGCTAAGTTTGGTTTGAATTAGTTATTTGACGATATGAAAACAGGCCAACATCATGACTGACAGCTGGGACTGACTCATGATTGGTGGAGTTTGTGTATCAGCAAGACCTTGCTACCATCCCGACTACAAATGTGCAACATGGTGATGTTCGTATTTGGGATGTTTTAACTTTATTTCTGCTTAGTGGGAAGAAGTGGTGACGCGATGTCCCTCTTTAGACACAGTCCATGGTAAGTGTAAGATCTAATAACTAAACTGGTCCAATATGACTGGTTCTCCAGTGAGCTATAGGCAGAGTTTAGCAGATGGAGGCAAAAATATTGAATGTGGCATTTCTTTGAGATTATTTCAAATCATTTTCATGGCATTCATTTTATTTCTTATAAAGCTATTATGATCCCAGTGAAAATTCAATCGTTTTGAAGCTTCTTTCCTGCGTCAGATTCACTGTTGGAGGAGGTGGTCAAGGCTGTCGATGAAAGTCCCTCTTCCCGCCCGTCTTACTGACCAGTTTCACATCTGTGATGATGATGTCATGGCTGACTGCCTTGCACATGTCATAGATGGTCAGCGCAGCCACGGACACAGCCGTCAAAGCCTCCATCTCGACTCCGGTCCTGCCTGTGGTGCTACACATTGCTGTGATGACCGCGGTGTTCTGCAGCTCCTTCAGGTCAAAGGTGACAGAGGTGTGGTCTAAAGGGAGCGGGTGGCAGAGCGGGATGAGGGCTGACGTCTGCTTGGAAGCCATGATGCCGGCCAACTGCGCCACAGACAAGGCGTCACCCTTCGCCAGCTGGTTATCTTGAAGCAGCCGGAAAGCAGTGGGACCTAAGACGACAGTGGCACGTGCCGTGGCTGTTCGACGTGTGGGAAGTTTCCCCCCAACGTTCACCATGGTGGCTCGGCCCTGGGCGTCTGTGTGCGTCAGCTGGGCCTCTGTGGTTCCATCCAGGTGAGTGTTGTTCTGACCACTCACAGATTGTCTGAGTTTGGCGCTGGGGTCTTGGCTGGAGTTGTGATTGAGGCACAGTCGAACACTGCGATGGTTAAGATTTATTTTGGGATTCATCAATGTGCAAAAAATCGATATTCCTGTGGTCCTGTGTACGTGGCTCTTCAAAGCTTTAGGACCCCTGGCTTGTGCATACCTGAGACAGTCTTCATCAATGTTGCCTGTGACAGTTGTGCGTGTGGTGCGGTGGTGCGGTGCTACACTGTGGAGGTTGTCTGTCACATTAGGTTTTTCTTTCTCTCTCCACAAATGGGTTCCCCCACTTGTTAAGGTTCTAGAGCAGCCAACATTGTCTGCTGGTGTTGAAGCGATGCGATCTGAAAGGCACAAAAACCGCTCTCTACTCAGGACTCTGCTGCCTGGAAGAGCTTTGTGAGGAGCCGTTGCTTGAGAGGGGAGTGTGTCGTTTGCGAGCTGGAGAACAATGGAGGACGCCCTCTGACTGTCATGTGAGTTCGTCAGAGACTCTGTCAAAGTCTCTGTTGGAAAAAGAGCATCAGTCAAGGAAACTGCTAAACAACAAACAACATTCATATTTAAATAAATGTACAGTGGTGCTGGCATGTCAATGATAAAATAGGGGGAGGGGGAGGGGAGGTATTCAGCTGCAACATGCAATTTCACCACTAGATGTCACTAAATTCTACACACTGTACCTTTAAGTACACTTGAATTTGTTAACTGTTTGATTGTCAATCACCCGAATGATACCCAACTGTAATGATAAGTGAGTAGGGAGAGAACAGAGTGAGTGTGTGACATTTGTACGTACAGCCATGTCACCCACCAATGAGGATCATAGGCCTGTTCTTCATCTGGGAGATACTGAACATGCCTAAAAAGACAAACAGGAAGAGATGACTTCACACTCTTCAGTAATCTGTAGGTACACTATTGATGTGCTATGTATCAATGAACTTTACACAAATCTACCTGCGTGCTGTTTCTTCTTCCTGCCCACTGCTGCTCCGATGATTTGCAGTAGCTCCTCATGTGAGGCTCCAGAACGCAGGACATCTCTAAGAGACACCTCAGAGTTGCCAAACAAACACACCTTAGAGAAGACAAACAGCGATGAGTGTAGCTATAAGACGCTTAAACAGAAAAACAAACTTTACTATCAGCTCAATGGAGAAGCACTTCAGCTTTACCTTGAGGTTCCCATCTGCAGTGATGCGCAGGCGGTTGCAGGAGCCACAGAAATGTTCAGACATGGAGGTGATGAAGCCCACTTGACCTTTGAAGCCTTCTACTTTAAATGTCTGATACAAGACATAGAAACATGGTTAACAATCATTCTTATGTCAGCTGATAAAATACCACAGAATATTTTCAGAAATCTGAAGGCAGAATCTCAAAAGTAATTATTTCTAACATCTTGTGGAATTCATGCCGTGATGAACTGAATTCTGCAAAACAGTTGTATTCACTGACCTTGGCAGTGTCTGTGTGTCCAGTTTGAAGCATTTCCAGTTTGGGCCACTGCTGCTTAATGCGGTCCAGCATCTCCTGATAACTCACCATCTTCTTAAAGTTCCACTTGTTGCCTGCAGAGAGGGGACGAGGCAGTGGGGGTCAGTGTAGCGTGTAGCATAGCACAAGCTGCAATATCTTACAATAACTTTACAACCAGCATAGAACACACACTGTGAACAAATCTGTTGTAGCAGCTCTGTAGGCAGAATTATTCTATATTTATCGTTGCAAAATTCCCATATTCAAATTCCCTTGAATGTCAAAGCAGTAAATATAAATCACGTTCAGCCCAGTAATAGAAGCCTGTACATATTGTGACCTGTGGAGTAAAACAGTATGAAGTAAGCACCCACCATCGAAGGGCATGTACTCGATGAAGCGCACCTCCAGAGGCTTCTTTTCTGTCAGCGCCACAAAATCTAGCAGCTCGTCCTCATTGACGCCTCGCATGACCACGCAGTTGACCTGCAGAGGGCAGCACACAACAATAAGCCACATATCACTCAGCTGCTCAGCCAGTCCTTAGAAACCTGTTGTGTCTCAGCTGCAAGGTCAAATCCCACAGTGCCGAGATATTTTAGCACCTGCACAAGTAAAATGACTTCATTGAAATGAAAGTATCAATTACTTAAAATGGCCTGTAGTTGTTACAAGATTTTACCAAAATACACCAGAGAGCTGAATGATGTCACTGATATCTCATTGTCTTTCCTTTCCGCAGCCTTAAATAAGACTTGATTTGTTAGACATAGAGAAATACCTGTGGTGGTACAGTGATGTTACAGCGTAAAGAATCTTCCCTCACAAACAATTTGCAAACTCTGACAGTGGCGAGATGAGACCACACAAACACAAAGTTTACTTTAAGGCCAGTCTTACTGACGGACTTAACATGAGTGAAGCACACCACTGTCTGTTTTAACTGGTGAAAGTGACGCTCAGTCCTGGTTAAAAATGAGAAGATGCTCGCTGAATGTTTTCTCCAATGCTCAAGTCTGTTTAGATGTAAGTTTGTTCATTAGTTTGTTTGTCTTAACATTTCTTTAATGCACAGTGCAATATTGTCGAGATATGATTTGTGACAGACAGTAAATCAGAAAGCAGCCAAGTGACTCCAAGGTTTGTGGGCAAAGTGTCAAGGACATGGATAAAATGTTACACCAGCATTCTTTTAACCATACTGCTGCCACAGCAGTTTACAATCAAGGAGAAGTAACAGCCATTTTTTCCTCAAGACAAATAATAAATTATAAAAACTATAATTCGGTTAATAAAGAGCTTCACTGTAGCTTCTGACAATTATCGAGACAGTATTAACTTTTCAGTAAAAATAGTACTTGCTCACATTTTCTTTTTTCAATTGAGCTTCTGTGATCCTAAAACATTTGTTCATGTTGTAAATCTTTTTTAAAAATCATTAAAAACAAAATATACAAACTGACATTAAAAAGGATCAGTTAAAAACAGCACTAAGAAAAGAGAGGACAGATTGTCATGGTTTCCCCTCCCTCCTGTGTGTGTGACTATGAATGGGAATGGTACTCTGTGCTGTAGGCTGTGTGTTGACAGTTCTAATAAAGTTTCCTGTCTACAACAGAACGCCACGTCCTAAGATGGTTTCATTTCATACAGAGGAAACATTTATTTGTTATCATCACCTAATCACAGGAAATAACAAAACAGATTTAACTGAAAATTAAACTAAAATAAACAGGACTGAAGTCGGGGGGTTGAAAAAACGTATATACTTGTATTTAGTTGTGATGATGATATTGTGATATTGTTACTCTGAGTTCATTATGTTTGTTGTTTATTGTGACTCCTGACTGGACAGATGTTACAGAGAAGAAATCAGGAGCTCAGAGGATGTGAGGATTCACATCAGTTCTGGATCATGTCATCAGAATAGACGAGCAAGGAAGATTTAGTGAAATCATTAGTAAAAGTTAATACTGTGGGGGGGTAAAAAGTAAACAGGTATCAGCAAAGCTGCAAAGATAAATGAGATACCTTGACAGGGTTGTAGCCCATTTCAATGGCCTTATCAATGCCCTCCATAACCTTGTGGAACCCTGAGGGGGAAAAAACAGAAATTATCTCAGACAAGAAATCAACACTACGCACCCAACATATTATTATACTTTAGCCTCTTCAAATTTGAAAAAAAAAAACTGGAAAGAATTATATACAAGTATGCAAATGTGTGAAGGTTTCTTAAGAGCAATAGATTATCAACTACAACAAAAGCTTTTGAAAGGTCAATAAAGAGTTGTGAAATTCTATCATTTGAAACAAGAGTGGTGTCAGTTTACCCATCTTATCACATCATAGGTGAAAAAGTGATTTGCGATTTTTTGCAAGTCGGGAAATTTAGTGGTAAGCTTTTTATTTTTGAGCATTGATTTTTTTTTCTTTTTGCTGGAGAAACTCAACCATCCAAACTAGGCAAACACAACTGATAAGCAAAAAAGTATTCCTGACAGTTTAGACAGACAGCTAAATATTATAGATCATGTGAGACATTTCTAGACCAAAAGTTACAAATGTTTATTAAAAGCAACATAAATGTATTTATAATCTCATATAAAGAATTAGCCATTAGCTGAAGTACGAAGAAGAAGTGACATTAAAGACTTCTGGAAAGCAAACTCACTGCATTCACAAATATGGATGGATTTGAATAATAATAATTTGCTTTAGATTTCCTTACTGTGGCTGTGCATTTGTTTCTAGAAAAATAAAAAATCAGGTGTTAGTGAAGAGGACTGGCTCAGAAGCTGCTTATTCTTTTTGCCAGTGTCGCCACTGCTCTTTTTTTCTCTCCTTCATGTCCTAATCTCTGCCAGTCCATCTGTGTCTGCCTCCTACAAGCCAACCACCCAGCGCTCTGCCCTGCTGTTACCTCCACACCCTGAGTGTTCAGAGCTCACAGGCTCCTTCTGTAACCTAATGAAACTGAACCACAACTATAGCCACATAGTTTCATCACCTTTCCGCCTGACAATAAACTCAAATTTGGCGGGGACCAGTGAATCCAGGCTGATGTTGATAAGGTCAAGGCCGGCATCTTTCAGCTTAGGCAGAAGTCTGGCCAGGTTCATGCCATTGGTTGTTACTGCTACGGTTTTCAGGCCCTCCAGCTTCTTCAGTTCTGCTGTAGAGGCAAACATGGGAACAAGAAAGAGAGGAACAAGGGAGTGAGTGTGAGATCCAAAGAGAGTAAACTGTGGTGAAGCATGAGTAAAGAATTCCCCAGGTCAAACTTAACCTGATCACAATACAGGTTGAGATGAATGCAAATTGAAAATCACTGAACCATACATGAGAGTTCTGATGGTGTGTTCGGACCAAACGCAAAGCGTGATGAGATTGAATACAAAGTAAATGCAAATTAGATGCATCACTTCCTTGATTCGAAACATTTAGTAAAAGATTCACCTTGAGATTTTCCAGCCGTCACTAACATGTGTATCTGACATCCTTACGTTGTATTAGAAATGGAAGACAAAATTATTGTTGTTGTATGTGGTCAAACTGAGCTGTTAAATACAACCTGCTATTCAAAGGAAAAGAGGGCTTGGTAAAAAATGAGTGTGAAAGTGGGAAAACCTGTTAAGCTCTGAAAATATGTATCTGTTACTATACTCTGTTTTAATACTCTTTGTGTTTGCTAACCGGGAGGAAGAAGGAGAAGAGGAGAAAGAGGGGGTCAGCATCAGGAACAACAAAACAGTGGAAGTACTCATGTGAGTAACAAGAGTAAACACAAATGATTGTGTGGCAAAACTCATGCGAGGAACGTAACGCGAAAATTTGCGTCACCTTTGGTCTGAACGTACCATTACAATTACCGTTTGCAGTTTAGGACTAACCTCGAAAGGGGTCTTTTTACCCTGAGAAGTTTGTTGTTATGTGGAAAAAGAAAACCTTTCAGAAACCAAACCCTAGCATTGAAAGAATGTCCTGGATGATCTCAAGATTCTCCGCATGGCTCTTTCCTTATTTCCAGGGAACAAAAACTGTGGTAGATGAACAATTGAGATACTGGCTCCACTTAATCAAAATGATCCACTCCACTAAACTTAATGTGGGTTATGTGAGGCCAGTCACATGATGATCATAATTGCTGAGCTCTAGAGGCCATGCTCCTCATTCTACAAACACATTGGCTACTGGTCACACTGCTTTGCTTTGGCTGAGACGTCCTCAATTCCTCCCTAAATCAGCCCGTTACAGCAAAATTAAGCGATAATGGGTCATTCGGCTAATCACATAGCCGTGGTGTGAAAAAGGATTTTCTCCAGCCACTCGTCTTAACAGCAAGTCATGCATGGACAAATCGATCTTCTCTCTTGTTCTCTCCTTACGTCACTAAGAAAAGCTCTACTCTTGTCAAGAGACTAAAATTGAAATTGAATCTACAGTCTTGGAAACCAAATGCTGAATCCTGTCTCAAAGGACTTTGTTACTAAATCTGTGTAATGAAAAGTGTAAGTGTAAGAAAAATATTATTTGTTTCTTACCAATGATTTCCAGCACATCAGGTCTGATGAGGGGCTCCCCTCCAGTGAGGCGGATTTTGTCCACCCCCTCCTGGACAAAGAGGCGAGCCAGGGTCAGGACCTCCAAGGTGGACAGCAGCTGGCTCCGTGGTGTAAGCTTCACCCCCTCCTCTGGCATACAGTACTGACCTGAAGATAGGAAGAGGAGTAAAATATATTAACCAATGATGTAATTTCACACTCAACAGATACCTTTAACTCATAGTATTAACACCATTCAACCAAACGTATTCTCTCATTTGTTGTCTTGCAGATGGTGTTTTAGAGCAATGACTAACAATCTGTCTATTCCCATCGTTTTCATACTCATGAGACAATTCTTTGGAGAATCCCCTCCTACTTCCCCTCCTCTCTCTTACCTGGCCTACTACTTCCTCCTGTGGCTCCACCTACAGAAGCCATATAAGAGGTCAGCTGACCTGTCTCTCTCTTGTTAGTGAACAAAGAGGCCAGGCTGGCCACATGGTGGAGGCCTCATCCTTTCAAGTTTGGACTGTGTACATGACCACTGTGAGTTTGCCTTGTTTGATGGTCCCATAGTGAACAGATTTGATTTGTATTTCTGATAATTGTGCTGATGTTAAAGAAATTGTAAAGTATTTTTAAAATAGTAGTAGAATCGATCACATTTAAGTTGGTATTTACGCTCTTTGTTTGTTAGCTAATTTCACTGAGGATGGATGTATATTGTTTAATATCAAGTTGCATGTTTTCTCCTTTTGTTATAAAGCATTCCAAACTAATCCCAATAAAAATAATGGATTGGAAACCTTTAGTCCGTGCTCATCTGTCCTTGTTGTTCCTGGAACTAGAATATGATATATACAGACAAAAGTACTCATCCTAAACTTTACATATTCAGTGTCCCCTTGACCCTATGGATGAAAGAAGTGTCCTGCTTCCTCACTTTACCTTTAATTTCTTACCTATCTATATTTTTTATATAGAGTACTAGTTAATCTATGTTAAGTACTTGTGGGATTTTAATGGTTAAAGGTGAAAGACTTCAGAGGTGGATCAACATGATTTGCAGGTAACATGTAGAAAAATATTAAACCAGAAATGTAAATGTTAACACATCCTTAAACTATTCATTTTCCAGGGTTTTTGTCATCACCATTTGCATTGATATTTGAGTACATATAGAAAAAAATGCAAGAATAGGGATATAAAAAATCTAAAATCAATCAAAGATGAAGATTACGTTGCAGTAATGGTGACATGGTTAATGCTTTAGTCACTCTCATTTCACCATATCTGAGAGGAGTTTCCATATCGGAAAGACGTCCTCTGTCTGTTGAGCAGGACTGAGACAGCAGTGTGTCACTGAATGTACTCTGCACTGTCAGTGTGCTGTGCAGGGGGTGGGCTCTATTGTCCACGATGTGAGGCTGCCACTCACTGAAGAATTTTTGACAACTGACACGTGTCTTCCCATGACAGTTACATGAGATGTGGATGTGGTGGTGGTTGACTAAGTAGCAGCAGCTGTAAAAACATTTGTCCTTTTAATACATCACAGCATGTACATGTACTCACAGCGCAGGTTGCATTTCTCTGTCAGGGAGATACGTAGGTAACTGTGCCTCCGGCCAAAGTTGTCGGTCAAGAATGCTGAGAAGGGAAGGAAATTGTCGTCTCTCAGTCGCTCCTGGAGATGACAACAAGGAAAATATAAAATGATCTGACACAGAAACCAATGGAAATGAGGGTACACTAGCACCACTATGTCTTGCTTTTGTTCTTTTCATCAACCAAAATCATTTTCCTGTTGACACATTAGTATGTTTGAATATCAATGCCTGATGCTGAATAATTTCCCTGCAGGGTAGGAAACACCAGTGCTGTATCGTGTGTGTGTGTTTAACATGGAACAGGGGACGATCCTGATTTTGAGACTTGAGGCTTGAGAGGATCAGCCACATGTGGAGTTGCACATGGCTTTGTGAACTGCTCCAGACCTTGGACCGTCAACAGTGGGCTGCTGTTGTGTAAGACGCACAAAGGCCGGCGTATGACTCAGCAGTAGGTTAGAAATTGTTCAGTGCATCCCTCTTGCTTCATTCCTGTGTGGGAAGCTAGTAGTAACAACAGTTTCATCATTATTTATTCAATTTTGTGTTTCTAAACTTTTAGTGCTGATGTTATATATTTTATCTTAACTTTTTATTATTGATCTTTGGCATGCATTAGTAACTGTATGTTTTTAACTACTTTTCAGTATTTATTTTTTTTACATTCAGTGTTTGGCCAATGGAGCTCTGCTGGTTGTTCTATTGAGTTACCTATTGAGATAAGACGAGCTGGCTTCTATGAATGTTTGACATGTGTTTTCTTTTAGTGTGTACCTTTTATTCTTCTGTCTGTTATGAACTGATTACTCAGTTATTCAATTGCGGATATTCTTTTAATTTTCTCTTTCTCTCTCAGTTAAGCACCTTTAAACGTTGGCAGAGATGTGCTATATGAAGAATTATATATTCATCACATCACCCTGAAATGCAAAGGCTGTTATTTGTCATCATTCCTTGCTTGAACATAAAATACTTTTACGGCAATGCCCTGAGATCACATTATAAGAATATAATATAAGAACCACATTGACATTACAGTATCATACAATAGAAGTTAGTGACATCTGGAGGTTTAGTGGCTCTGACAAATGCACACCTCGTTTCCCCACTTGAGTTCCAGGCGTGTGCTAGTGTTTGATATCTAGTTACCCAGAGGATGATCAGGACATGAGTGAAGCTGATGCTTTCACCACTTACAGTACGTCCACACAGGATTCACTTTACGCACTGACCTTTAATGGTGGAGAGAGTGAGCGGGTTGTGTCGCAGTCGTTCTCCTGCTGGTTTACAGAGTTCAGCCTGTGTTGGCCTGGAGACGACCTGAGCCCTGACGTTAGCTCGTGTGTCAAAGCACCGTGTTTAATGGGAGTTCAGCGTGTTTACCTGTCTCCGGTTGGTTTTCACCGCTGGGCTGAAGTTGGCGACAGCAGCAGCTGCTTCATGCGACTCTCCAAGTTCAACTTCGGTCTCCTGGTGCGAGTATGGCCGCCGCGCGCTGCTGCTGCTGCTGCCCGCGAGCTGCAGGTAGAGTTTCCTCAGAGGAGAAGAGTTGTGTGTGTGTAACAAGCGACAGAAGACGCTGCTCGGGGCCGCCATGGTGTTTACCGGCTGTAATGTTCTCCGCAGCTCTGCAGGATCCTTCAGACCACTGAGTTAGCAGCGGAGCAGCCCAGTGTCAGGCGCGTGAGCACGTCAGCCAATAGATCCTGCGCACGCAGTGCCGCTGCATGCTGGGTAGTGTAGGAGGCTAAACGCAGCTTTATCTTCCCACAAGCTGTTTGTTAAGATGTATTTATCCACAGTCCCTTGGTTTTTTCACCTGTATGTTAATACATATGTAGTAATATAACAACTATAATAATTACAGACCAAACATTAAACTCCCTTCAGAGGCACAGACATCCTAGAATCACTTAATATGTAAACACAATAATAGTTCACTAAAGTATATACACGGATTAAGATTATGAAAAAACATTAAATGCAAACACAGGAATAATTTAAGTAAACCACATGACATAGATTAAGTACAATACATAACAATACTAATAATAACAATATCATAACAGCTATCATAATTACCGACCAAACATTAAATCAATCCAGAGGCATACACTCTTATATTATTAAGTATTTAATTTAGCTTTTTTAGATCAATAGCCAGCTGCATATATGACACACATCCACAGTTGAATAGAACAATGACTGTTCAGTTTGCATTAATCATGACAAAGTGGGGCATCTGAGGCCTTCACTATGTTCTGATCACTGGTGTAGTGGTCCCTGGAGAAGTGGGTATACTCTCAATGTTTGCCACTGTTTTAGAAACAGTGACATGAAAGACTACTCTATTTAGTTTACCCAAAAATGAATCAGTAGTAATTGTTGTAGTAGCTCATTGTCACATCATTTCTGCTGCTTGATCTCAGGGAGGAAGGATAATGAAATTACTAAACCAATACTGGCCCACAGTCTAGTGAGAGACAACTATGCATTTTGAGTGAACTACTGAAACTTATTCTCTCACTTGGCAAGTCAGTAGTTTCTTTTGTAAACTGTCTCTTTGAACAGCTGATTTGCAACAGATAGCGTGGGCCAGAGTGTGCCACTATTATAAAATGAACATGATTTGATCAGGAGCAGCTTGTTGGTATTACTGGTCACACAGGCAGCCTGCATGAATGCAAAATATAGATGAGGCAAACATGGTGTCGACTAACTGTATCTCGGCTTGCGATAGTAAGCGGGTTAAAAAACACATTAGAGGCAGAGTAGCGTGGGTCATGGCTTCACCATCCTAGGAAAAAAATGGGTAAATTGGCTCGCAGATACTACTGTATGGTGCACATCAGGGGGGATTTAGAAATGGGTATACGCAATGCTTACTGAAAAATAAGTGTGTATACGCCGTATACCCTGGACTACACCAGTGGTTCTGATGCTATTGTGACAGTTGACCCAGTGTCCATCAATATCCTGTATACAACTCTCTGTTATCATGTGACAGATATATTAAGGTCACAGCATCAGCAATATAAAATCTCCCAAAATGCTTATAATTGAATCTTTGGGTTGAGATTGTTGTGACACATATCTTTCCCAAGTCGAAAACCTCACAACACTTTCCTATCCACACAAATCTCCACAAGGGCATTTCAAAAACATCTGCCTACACTGTTTGATGTATACATACAGTAAATCAGCATTACAGGTGGGTACTTGGAAATACAGGAATCTATTCATCTACTGTTCCTGGTGCTCACTCAGACAACCCATGTTTTTTTTTTTACAGAGCCCATCATTCACCTTGTCTAATTTCAGCAGCACAAAACAAGTGGTAACATGATCCTGACATCATGTGAATGAAATGTCACACTTAAGTCACACGTTACATTAAACCATTAACTAAATCATGTGGCTGAAAGCAACGAAAAATCTGCAGTCAACAAAGATTTTTATTTTTTTTTGTCAAAAATCAAAGCTCAAACGTCTCCGCTCAGTGTGAAAGGGTTTGAAATGATCTCACAATGTCTGTGCATAGCTCTGATAAACAGAAGAAAAATAAGTTCACGTGATTGATTTTGGCCAAGTTTTGAAAGTGATCCATCAAAAATATACAGTGAGGAGAACAGAAAACATGTCTACATCATCACCTAACATTCTTGCCATGAGAGATCCTTATAAACGCTGCTTTCAGATATCTAACAAAATACTGTGGTGCAGGTTGTATTGTCCTTAAATTGCGTCACTTATTTTAGTGTTGCACAAACTTTGCAATGTGCAGCTATATCAGGAGGGAAATTAAAAAAGATACAATAAAACACATTTCAGTTCAGATTTGGAATCACTGGTGTTTTATATCAAAGGGACATCCTTAATTTGATCGAGCCCTGTCAGTGCATGTCACAGACCAGTATAAAGGTGTTAATCAAACTAGTTTAAACAAGCAAAAAAATGTGTGATTTATCCATTAGATGGCAGTGTAATCCTGACATTTTGTGGGGAGTCGAAATAAATACAAAAAAGCTCTCTGCATAACCATCATGTATGAAATGACATCAAATGACAAACTGTATCTGTGTCTACATGAACTAGAGGTGGGGTGAGTGTTTCTTATTCTAAAGTAAGAAATCTCATTTTTGATAATGATAATCTTCTATCCACCTGCAGCCCATGTAGATAAAAAGCAATGATTTCTCCCAAAGCTATAAATAGGACCTACGCGTCAGAGGGCCTGTGTTTTCTGATGAGGGAATTGTGTTCTAATCAACACACCTCTGTGACTGGAACACTGTTTGTCTGTCACGTGTATTTTGCAGCAGCCCTTCTGAGTTCAGCCCTGCCAGTACAGATCTGTTTCTACATTATGTACTTTTTTTTAAACTTACCTTATTTACAAATAAGTCTGGAAAATGGTGTCTGCAAGCCCTTTAAACCTAAAAGGAGTATGAAAACTACAGAGCCCCTTATGTCTTGGATTGTGGGATATTTCTTGTATCTCCTGTGCATGAGGTGATAACTTGAGCACATATGATAAAAAACATATCACCTTCCAAGACTGTAGGTGTAAAACATGGCATAGCATGGAATGATAATCTGCCAAATAAAAAATGTTGCACAAGTACAAAACATTCGGAAAATATTCAGACCCTCCACCTTTTCACATTTTGTTGTGGTGCAGCCATTTGCTAAAACTGTTTACATTTTCTTCCACATTTATTAGAATTTTATCATATTTATTTATTTGAATATCACATTAACATTTGAAGCACATTTTGCATTGATTGAAATTGGGTGTTGACCATCAGTGCACAAACATTTTAAGGTTATTCCAAAGATTGGGTAGCAGATTCATCTTTAAAACTATTTTCTAAATCATTTTTTGCTTCACATTTCTCACAGGTTGAAATCATGTTTTACATGCTGCTCAGTTAACTCATCTGTGGCACATTAAGACTTTCTTATGATGGAAAGTAAGGAGGTTCTGTTTTTTTATATAGGTCTCAAAAAATAGAAATAAACTCCACAGGGATTATTATAGATCTCACTGAATCTTTCCTGCTCACCAACACAAGGCCAAAGCACAGTGACCAGATATAAGGAATCTAATATATGGTTCCTTATGACCAGAGGAAACTGCAATAAGCCTTTAATCGCCTTTGTGTATAGGTGCACAGGTTATTGATTATACAGGTTATTGACTACATAGTTATCGACCAGGTTTTGTCTCCACGCTGCACAGCACAGTCACAAACCCTTCTCTTATCACTTATGTCTTTTCTGTTCCCTTTCTCCTCCATAGCTTCTGAAATGCATCCAGCTCCTCCAATCGCTTCAGCTTGGCAAGAAAATCACAGCTAAGAATCTTATGAAATGAACTCTGTTTACCTTGCTTTCACTTTATTAATTGAATTTATCCATTTAGCATGATTTTACTATATCTCTTTATATCCATGAAACTATCTAATGTCTTTTTGTGTCTTTTCCGATGAGTTGTCAGCCACGTGAGAGCAGCTCTGATGATGTCGATCTTATGAGCTCATGCTGAATGTCACCCTGTCTCAGCAATCACAGTTAAATGCAGGTTTGACACGCTGCATTTCTAATGTGTGCACGGTTGTTGTTTTTTAATCTGCAGAGTCTCATGATAGCTGCAGCTGTGTGTTTGCCTCTGTCCACATCATGTAAAAGACTGCAGCTGAATGTCTGAGGCTGGAGTGAGATATTCTCGGTATAAATGAAAGATGATGATACACACTGAGGATTTATGTTGAGTTAAATTATGTTGCACAAGAAGAAAGAAGCCACATGTTAACACAAGTCTGGTTCTGTCTATGGCAGTCAATCATCACTGGTACATCTGTGTTAAAGTGTATTTATAGCCTGTAAACAAGCACACACACCCTTTTAGAAAAAACATTCTGTCCTTGAACACGTCTCACTGCTCACCCAGGAAAGGAAAAGATTCAGTCTTGGGAAGCTACAGTTCATAAAGTCAGAGTTCTACATCAATTAGTGAAAATAATCAAAAATAAGTTTTTATTTATTGTTGAAAACATAAGATACAAATGTGTGACATCAATGCAAGACATAACATACAGACAGATATAAAACAAATATAGCAATAAACTACATTGGAACAGAGTAACTGACAGCTATTACCATCAGTGGTGAGGTACTAGAGAACATTGAGGACTTCCCATATCTCAGCAGCCTAAAGAGCAGTGACAATGGTGCCCGAATGTCATGATTCTGCTCAGCTTGAGCACCTTTGTGATACTTTTGTTGTTTCCTTGTGGACTTTGAATAGGCCATGGAGTTGTTCTTTTTTTTTATAAAATAATATTTTGTTTAAAATTTGTCTTTGTATATTTTATTATGGGCTTTCTGCAAAAAGCATCAACACAGAGAGTCACAGGGATCTCAGTGTTGATTGAGAACAGCATCTTATATAGGAGAACTAAGGCTGCTTGTCTGAGCCAGTTCAGACTGGTTCTGTAGGCACAGTTTGAAACAGGACGCAGGAAACTTGTTTTTATATGTTTCCCAGAATTCCTTGCACAGTCAAGAGTACTAAAAAGGTCACAAAGGTTTCAGGTCATAACAGTTACTTTTCAACTACAAAATCGTTAACCACCATACATAGTTTACTTTAGTGGACAGCCTATTTTACCTTCATTGTGACTGTTGAGTAACCTTTTGTAACCCCTCATGTCT